TTTGGGACATTCCCCCAATGTGTAAGTTGCTATACCTTATGTAAGGGTTAGCATCATTATTAAAAATGTCAGCATATAAAGAAAATCAGCCGTTTGTCTTTAAGATCTGTGTTGCCAGGCGAGATTGTGACACGCTGTTGTCAATTGCTTAGTGAAGGTTGAATTTATCAAAGGCTTTAAACAGGAGACACGTGTTACTATTAGCTGTAGCTAAAACTGGTTTCAGTGGCATTGTTAAAAAAATTCTGACCCTGTTTTATTTGCCCGTTTAAGAGCCCTGGGGATGGGAGCCCCCACTGGAAGTCAGGAAATCAGAGGTTGAGCTTCTGCCTTTCTACCCCAACCCTCTGGAACTCCACCACAGAATGTCTTTACCTTACCTGCTCCCTTGTCTCCTTCGAGGATCATCTCAAGACGTTTCCTTTGACCGCGTCTTCAGTAATCCTCCCACCCCCATTCTCCTTGCCCACTACCACTCCTAACTCCAACCCGCAGCTCAGGTGGAAACCCTTGACTGTCCAGACCTTGGGTCGTTATTCCAACAACAGCAAGATTGCATTTATAGAGCGCCTTTCATGTCGGGAAGACGTCCCAAGGTGTTGGACAGTTGGGTCGGGACCCGAGCAAGGGGGAAATGGTCAGGGTGAAGGGAGGGAAGAGAGGGAGCGAGGAGGGATTAGAGAGTCGAGAGGGGAGGTGAAGGCAAGGTTGAAGAGAAAGGTCTTGAGACCGGCCTCGAAGGAGGAAAGAGAGGAAGCCAACAAGAAAGGTGCTATATAAGAGCAAATGGTTGTTGTTATCTCTGTGAGCTTCTTGTAACCCACACTCCTGCTTGTCTCCTCTACCCATATATGGCCAGGCCTCATGTCTGCTTGCCTCCTCTAGCCATATATGGCCTGGCCAACAATCCCCCAAATATGTCTGCTGTGCATCCCTCATCCCATTTGGACCACAATTGGTGGCCAAACATTCAGGGACTATGCCTCTAACTTCTGAAATTTCCTCCCTCTACCCTTCCATCCCGACCCCTTTTCTATTTGTTTTTAAAACCCACATATAAACCTTCCTCTTCAACCTTGCTTGCAGTCACCTCCTCCTTGCCTTCCTCCCTTCTCTCTTGGTTGGCACCAAACCCTGCACTGTGAAGTTCTCTTAAATGCAAGGTGCTGTATAAATGTGAGTTGTTGTTGTTCTTTTGCAATATATGAGGCACTGCCACAAAGAGAATGGAAAGAAAAAAAGTAATTGAAAACATTGAAGAAATATTGCTAAGTATGCAGATTCCACTTTCACGGTCCTGACAAACACTTAATCAAACCATAAAATCTAATCATAAAAAAGAAATATTGTTGAAATTGGAAGGTTTTGAAAATGTTTCCCTTGGGGTGGCTTCAAAATTACATTTATCAGTGATAATATATTGTCATGGAAAACGGCATGATATATACACAGAATCAGTGATTCGTTTCAATGTTTTAGAGTAGTCAAATTATTCATTTTAACCCTGCTAAAAATATCACCTGTATTAATCTAAAAAGCTTGCAGAAATGTGGTTCAATGGTATGTCTTCTCATGGAACATTAACTCTCTTCCCTCCCACAATAGCATTTCAAATAAACAAATGAAATGTTAGAGTTCTGTTCCATCATTGGCAGCGGCACTTTCAGCCACTACGCCCCAAAACTCTGGAACACTCTCCTTCAATCCCTCCACCTTGCCCCCTTCATATCATACCTCAGGACCGTCTTCTTCATCTGTGCTTCGGTCACCTCTCCCCTCCCTGGCTTGGCATTGTGCTCCACCGCTGTCAAGCACTCTGGGACTCTACCCTGAGCAGAGCGGCACTGTACAAATGCAATTTAGGAACTTAGGAACAGGAGCAGGTGATTCAGCCCTTTGAGTCCCTCTGTGTTGTTACATTTTGAAAACAGAATCGTAGTAACTTCACACAGAAGGAATTAGACTGGCCCACTATTGCCTGTACCAGCTCACCCACTAGTTCTGTCTACTCTAAATCCATCACCTGCTCCTTCCCCATACCTTTTGTATAATAATAATAATCCTTGAATTAGATATAGCGCTTTCTCACATCTTCTAGACGTCTCAAAGCGCTTCACAGAATATAATGTAAAGTGAATTGACTGGATATTTTGTGGGCAAAACGTGGCAGCCAACTGCGCCAGCAGTGTCCCACAAACACTCGTGGATTGAGTGGCAAAATTATTATTATTATTTTTTTGGGTGGGTATTATTATCCCCAGAAGAGCAATCTGTAAGTCAGGGTATTAAGGGATATGGGGAGAAAGCAGGAAATTGGAATTCAAAGGATTAGTTGAAGTACAGATCATTTAATATGAGTCCTTCAATTTATGCAGTCCCACTTTTTTTAAGGTATTCTTTTAATTTCCATTTATAATGGTTGGACGGGGAATGAGACATGTGATGTTATGTTGAGTTACATAGAGTGAATCGGCACAGAAACAGGCTGTTCCCAACTGGTCTGTGCCAGTGTTTATACTCCACACAAGCCCCCATTCCCCTCGTTGGAGTATGGATTTGTTGGGAGGTTGGCTACCTATTCCCCTCTCTGCTCTATTCCCTTCTCCTGCATGTATGTGTCGAGTTTTCACTTAAATGCATTTCCTTCTGAACTCCCTTTCAGATCTGCTATTGGTTATCATATATTTATGCCCTATACCATATATTACCATATATTTATTGGATTCACCAACAAATCAGCCCATCAACATCCACTTCATAAAATCCTTCCATCATCCTAAATATTCATCATTCGATAAATTATCAACGGTATGAATTATCACATCAATCTCAAAAAAATCATAGCGAATAGTTATTATTGACCCTGACAGTGAACCTGCTCCCATCCTCTCTTTCTCCAGCAACCCCTCTTGACACTGGAACAACGTTTGAGCCTAATGTTGGCTGAAAACTTATGTCCACCATCATCTTTGTACTAAATGATCATGGAGCTTATCGTTTCAATGCTGCCCCATGAGGCTGCATGTCAATTGTGAGGAATAGTCATGAATAGTAAATTACACTGGTCAAATAGTACTCTGCATTACATATAGTAGGTAACTTAGAGAGACACAGTTGACCACTTCCTATTTAATTCACTTGTGGTGGTCAGTAAACCTGTTTCTAATGCATGGAGCTAAATATATCCCAATGTCGGTACTTGTCAGATCACGTAATTGAATCCCTCTAGTACACCATCCATCTTTTACCATCGTAACCGTTGGACCACGAAGTAAGAACTCACAGGAATTAGTATGATTAATAGGTTCTGTTCTGTTAAACTCTATTGAAATATTTTTTGCCAATGTACTTAGGCTGCACTTTAGAACTGGATCCTAATTGATAAGGTGTCTTGACACCACTATATTATTGAGAGAACACAATACTTCAGTTTCAGAGTGCACAAAAGTATTTCCTGGGATGAAATGACATGACAAATTGCACAGTGCTATTGTAAGTCAAGATGAGAACACAGCTACAGGGAGTTAGTTACAATCCTGTGCGTGACAAGACAAGTAGTTGGCCACTAAACCAATAAATATATCAGAGTACAACAACAACAGATTGCATTTGTATAGCACCTTTCACGTCAGGAGGATATCACAAAGGTGCTGAGTAGTTAGGCAAAATGAAATAACTCCTCACGAGATTTCTCCGTTAGTCCAAATTTCCAAAGTATAGTGAGTGAAAACCCTGCCCTGTTTACCCATCCTAATGCTTGTTCATTCTGATAAGTGTCACAATTTGTTTGGTGACAGTCACAGATTATTACAGTCGTGCAATGAATACTGCTCTCAAACTGCTTGACCTGCGATGAATGGGGTTGGGGTGTAAGAATTAACGCTGAGCAAAATTCTGAAAGTCCTAAAATCGACTGAATGAATGTGAAGCTCGACCTTCTGAAGAACAGCTCAAAACCTTCAGCGTTACGCCTGAAATGACAAACAGGAGTAGGCAATTCAGCCCTTCGAGCCTGTTATGGCATTTAGTTAGATCATGGCTGATCTGTACCTCAACTAATCCTTTCAATTCCAATTTCCCGCTTTCTCCCTATGCCTTAAAACCCTTACCTGCCAAAAATCTATCAACCTCACTCTTGAAGGGGTTGATGGATCCAGCATCCACAGCCTTTTGGCGGAGAGAATTCCAGATTTCTGCCACCCTTTGAGTGAAAAAATGCTTCCTGATTTAATTCTTAAACGGCCTATGAGAGTGCTAAGCTGCAGCTGGCCTCTAAACCATTGAGCGATTTTCTCTAAAGTAGCCAATTCTACAGTTGTATTGACACTAAATGATGGTGTTTCGGTAACCTTATGGCAAACCTTAATTAGCCCCTGTGAAAGGGTTGCTTACACTTATCACCTCTACCAGGTTTTGTTGCTGGAATGAGGTACACATTTAAATTGTCCATATGATATTGGCAAAATGCTTTCTGGGTGTAATAATCCCACCACAAAAACAATAATTTGGTCACTCAATCCACGACTCTTTGTGGTACACTGCTGTGCTCACAAAATACACAGTCACTACACTTGACAGTATATTCTGTGAAGTGCGTTGAGACATCTCAACCACATGATAAGGCACTATATCAAATGCAATGATTATTCTTATTATTTCAGTCATTACTGCTCCAACCCTCGAAACACTTTGCCTCTGTCCCTCGGCCTCGCCCCTCTTTATCTATCATCAAATGACACACTAAATTGTACCTCTTCAATCGTGCCTATGGTTGCTTCTTCCTCCCAATCCTCCTAGATCAGCGTCTAACCCCCGCCACCATGAAGCACTCCGAGATATTATCTTACTTGAAGAGCACTAGATAAATACAAGTCGTCATCATAATTCTCTGCTCACCACCACCACGGCAATTTATAAACATGTTAATTCTTGTTGTGCGATGGTGAAGGATAATCCCACAGAAGAATTTTTTAAAAAATCATGAAACACGAAATACACTGTTTAAAATAGTATCAATATATTTCAACTTGTTTTAATTTTTTCAGAAAGCATCAAAAGTTCATACACCAATACAGAAGGTATGCTATTAACAGCAATCGTAACCATCCAAACTGATGGTATCAAAGCCTCAAAGTCAACTTAGTGTTTGCAAAATACCTTTGATCCTGAATCAGCAACATTTCAAAGGCAAAGAAGATGGTTACACATGGCGTATAAATATATTAATATATAAATATTGTACCTTCAAAGAATTCGCCACACACCTTGTGTACTGCTCTGTGGAGTACAGCGTTCATAGAAACATGGGGTAACAAATATTTCATTTATAATGAGTAGTTGAGGCACGTGTGTGTAAGTCCTATTATTTGAAAGGTTTTTCGATATCCAGAACAGTAATGATGCTTCGGTTAGTGGTGCATTACTAATAGCTGTAAAGTGTCCATAAAATATTAAAAATGTTTTTTACACAAGTGAAGAGGAGACATTTACAATAAAGAAGTTCTTCCAGTTGCAATAAAACAGCATCTTATGTCATGAAATGGTATGTGTGTCCCGGTCTGTAATCTGAGGAAGAAAAGAAACAAGATTTGGGGAATAAAATCAGCAACTCAATTTTATACCAAGCTGACATGCAGAAATCCATGTAATTTTACGTAATGATGTATTGCATTTTCTCTCTCTCGTCCCCCCATTTTAAAATAGCTGTTAAAGGCCTCCTCCACGTTGTGGTTTGGAACTGTCTAGCGCCTTGGGATGTCCTCCCGAAGTGAAAGTTGCTATACAAATGTAATTTATTGTTGTGGCCTCGGGAGGGTTGTAGAAAAGGAAGGCTCTGACTCTGTTCCCATTCCCTTAAAAACTGCCACCATCACTCCCACCTTGAAAAAACCCTCCCTTGATGCGTCGCAGCTATCAAGCTACCGGCCCATCTCCAACCTCCCCTTCCTGTCCAAGGTCCTTGAACAAGTTGTCGCCTCCCAGCTGCGCTCTTTCCTCTCCACCCATTCATTATTCGAATCCTTTCAGTCGGGTTTCCGTGCTGCCCATAGCACAGAAACTGCTCTGGTCAAGGTCACCAATGACATCCTGACCATCTGTGACCAGGGCTCCCTCTGCCTCCTCGTCCTCCTCGACCTATCAGCAGCATTCGATATGGTCGACCATGCTATCCTCCTCCACCGCTTGTCCTCCCACCTCAACCTTCAAGGCCTTGTCCTTGAGTGGTTTAGGTCATACCTCTCCCACTGTCTTCACTTTGTTTCCACAAACAGCTTTTCCTCCACCCCCCGCACTGTCTCGTGCGGTGTCCCTCAGGGCTCTGTCCTCGGTCCCCTTCTCTTCACCCTCTATATGCTCCCCCTGTGGCGACATCGGCCGCAGACATGGGGTTAACTTCCACATGTATGCGGATGACACCCAACTCTACTTTTCCTCCTCTACCCTCAACTCCACGACCACCGATGTCCTGACAGCTGCCTGTCCGACATCGAGTCCTGGACGAGAGACAACTTTCTTCAGCTCAACGTGTGTAAAACTGAGGCCCTCCTGATTGGCTCACGTCAGCGCCTCCGCACCTCAGGCACTGACAGCATCAGCATCCATTCAAGATTCCTTTAGTGACATTGGCATCAAGGAGATGATCAGAATTTGACCTCTTGCTGACTCCCATGTTTTTCAACAGGAAAAAACAATCATTTTAGATCGAAGAATATCTGGAATTCAGAACTGGTTTGTGGCCACTTTTCGAATTTCAAAACTCGGTCATTCAAATTTAAAGCAAATGTTTTTTGGTAGAGGTTCTGTAAGAAAAATGCTTATATCATATTCAGGTTCATTTATACTTGCAAAGAATACAGTTTATGGCTTAGTTAATTATTTATTTAACTGAATTCTCCGGATGCTTCAGCTTAATATTTTACTTCCAGTGTTTACTGGAAACTGGTTACTTTACTGCCTTAAATCCCGCTATGAGTCATGAAACTTCTCATTCCCTAACTGTTGTGAGCAGGGATTCATATCCAGTTTAGCAGCACAGCAACAAATTCATATGCAGTACTATGTATGAAACCAGCAAGTCACATTGAAATAGCAAATTTAACCTTGGCATGTTTTTGCTATCCAGACTATTATTAACATGATGACAAATTTTCACGTCCGCAGCACTTTTGAATTCTCTCAAAAATGCCATTGTGGCCTAATCAGTAATCTAGTTAAGGTTAAAGTCATTTATTATAAATTATTATAATAACTTACTAGTCAAATGCCCTTGAGAGTATTATTTGGTCAGTTGACACATAAGGAAACCCATTGCCGTATTATAAGATTAATCACATTGAGAGTTCCACAAATGTATGCTACCTATGTGTGGAAGTTTCTGGGACGAAATGTGCACTCTCACCCAGGGAAACAGGTTGGCAAGAGCCACGGCTTGCTGGTCTGTCACAAGAGATGTCCTGGAGTACCGGGAACCCTCCTGGCTCAGGAACTGCACTATTGAGACTGCTAGAGGGCTGACTCAATTCCAACATTCTGGATCCAAGCACGTTGCCATATAATAATAATAATCCTTTATTTTCATATAGCAATGCATTATCTATTGAAATGTCTCAAAGTAAAGTAATTTCTGTAAAGTGTAGTGAGTGTATTTTGAACTCAAATGCACCAGCAAATTTGCACATAGCATTGTCCTAGAAAGAGCCATAAAGTGACATGTTAATATCTGTATTGTTTTGCCAGAAATACCCTGCGATTGTTCTCCAGCCGTGCCTGGATTCTTTTCCTCATACGTATTTTCCTAATTACAGATAAAATTGATCATTCACTTCATGTCTGGTTGTGGGACATAGCTTTCCACAAAAATGGCTGCTATGTTCACCCTCAAAATCCACTACCCTTTAAAGTAAATACTGCGAGGTGCTTTGAGACATCCTCCTGACGTGAAAGTCGCTATATCAACTGCAAGGACTATTATTAATCAAAACATCACAAGATAAGTTGGGATGAAGCCCTTGAGCCCATATGATCTCACATTTTCAGAACACCCAGCCTACCATTCCCTTATTATTTGTCTGCTTGACTCTTATTAACTAGTAGTCTATTAATATCATTACTAGTGTCATCATTAGTATCTATAAGTATCATCATGACATTTATGTTACAAGGAATATTTTCCTCTGATTAGTGTGAAAAGCAGCGAACCCAAAACAGGCCTCTGTATAGCCACAAGGTCAATTCACCTGAGATAGACCATTTTGCCTTTCATCATCACCCAGCACTTCTCTGGGAGGAAGCACCACATCAATTTTAGGAAGAAATCTATACTGCTCACATGCTTACTTTTCATGCCGAAATAGTTTCAGTAAACTTTGCTCAGTGATCTTTACAATCTGGTTTGAAAAATTCAGCTCAGGCACAATGGGCCAAAATTCTGTGCTGTAAATTTCTATGATTCTCAATTTCTATGGTTCTATGATATGAGGAAGTTTAATATTTGTTATCGGTGGGGCGGGGGTTGGGTGGGGGTATGGAGGTGCAGGGATTTAAGAATAAAGACAATCATTGTTTAATGGGAGTACCCAGATGGTGACCACATCCAGGTGAACTTTGAGGCTTTCAGTACAGATCAATGATGAAATTCTGGGCTCCTCCAGTGATGAAGTGTTGAGTGGCCGTTTGCGATCAGCTTTCAAGTTTCTTTGAGCTTTTACGTTATCCGGGGCATTACCAGCCACTGTTCTGTACTGGTCAGCAGTCATTTCCACAACTCACTAACAAGAACACAGCCCAGCAAACATTTATATGCTCACACTAGAGCTTAGACTGATATCCATGAATGTGTGAAAGGAGCAGCCTGTTATTCCCAAAGGTTACGGACATTTTCCTGTTTAGTTGGGATGGTCGTCAAGTTCTTTTTGCTTGGTTTTCCATCCCCTGAGTTACTCTCCATCTCTCCCCTCTCCAGCTCCCATTCCCACATCCACCCAGACATTTGATGTGATCGCCCTATCATCTTACAAGTAAGAGGTGCCAGCAGCTGGGTCATAGATTGGTCTGACCAGAAGGTGTTGTTGACCAGTACGGAGGATGGGCAGGAGAGTGGGACTAAATGGATGAATCCTTCAAATACCGGCATAGACACAATGAGACAAACAGCATTCCAGGTAGACCCTGGGATCAGGGATTCTTCCCACTCGGCTCCTATTAACCCTGGAAACCAAACCCATAACGGGTAGGGTTGTCTAATCTGGGGAAGCTTGCCAGGCAGTAGTCTTAATGGCAACCTATGTGGATTGGGTTGTATGGACTCCAGCAATGCCCCAAGGCTCACTCTGGGGTGCCCAAGCCTTTCAACCTGCGCCTAATAGTCTCCAGAATTGGGTCAGCTGGATGTGTCCCTCTAGGGAGAGAGTGCACATTACATCCCAGACACAGAGAAATTTCCATGTGTAGGTGGCCTACATGTGTGGTACTCTCAGTCTGGGTGTGGACACTCAAACGCAGTGATGGGTTTCCGCACGTGTCAGACATATGGCTAAATAAAACAATGGTAGCTTTCTATGGGTCTAAGTGTGGAGTAGTTGCTGTGTGCAATTGGCTGCCGCGTTTCGCCCACAAAATATACAGTCAATTCACTTTACAGTCTATTCTGTGAAGCACTTTGAGATATCGAGAAGACGTGAAAAGCGCTATATCATTATTATATTATTATTATTATTATAGTTCTATACACACACGCACAGCTCACCTTTGCTTGGGTTATCAGCTTGCTGTTACTCCTCTGTGATTACCAGCGTTCCCTGGTTATTGTTAACCTTTTGCTCCAGCACTTTCTCCTTCCACTCCTTGCCTCGGGTTTCGAGCAGTTCTCGGTTCAGCCTTGTGGCCACATCCACGAGCTGTAACAATCCAAACCCGGGGAGGGGGAAGGGAAACAGAATTTTTTTAGCAAGAATTTTTTTTCAGAAATACTCAATGTGTGGGATGGGGGGAGAGTTAGTGGTTTTGTTGTTGAGTTTAGAAGCTAACCCTCTAACCCATCATTCTAATACTATGTTCCACAGGGCAGAATGCCCAAACTTTAATTCAGTCAAAATACTGAACCAGTAATGAATCAGCATTCAGCCCAACTAGCCCATGCCAGTGTTTATACTCCACATGATCTCTGTGCCCCTCCTAATGCCCTCTCCCTATCACTTCCCCCTTCCCCCCTATTCCTTTCTCTCTTATGCATGCATCAAGTGTCCTTTTAAATTCACTGATGCTTCCTGCTTCAACCACAGCTTCCAGGAGTGAGTTCCACATTCCCACCACCCTCTGTGTAAAAAGATATTTCTCTTAAATAACTCTCTTTCAGTTCTGTTAATCGCTATCTTATATTCAAGCCACCTTGTGATGGATTCACCCACAAGTGGAAACAGTCTATTTATGACCACTTTATCAAACCCTTTGGTAACTTTCAATATGTCTTTGCAATGGACTTGGAATTGTAGACATAAACAAATTGCTGGTGTTAAAGATCGCTGTGTTACACTTTACACTGACTGGCTTTCTAACAATTTTCATGTGCACAGTCATCCAGCAGACAGTGTCGAGGAAGTTTAATTTTAATAAAGGAATAATTTAATGTAATGGCAGCAAATTAACTCATTAAGATAACGTCAATCTGAAAAACATATTGGTCTTGCTAATAATTGGTACTAAGTCAGTTTATTAACTGTAGTGCAATTCTCTGTCAAATGTGTCCTTACCAACACTATCCAGGTAACACAGCAGAACTCAGTACCACACATGACATAAATGGTTATACGTGATCCTCTGTTCAGTTGCCTGAGTTTCAAATGTGCTGGGCATTTTCAACGCAGCCTAACATTGTATTTCTTACTATATGTGTCAGATTAAACACAGCCTGGACTGTACTGTGTGTCAAGTTGAACACAGGGAATGCATTATATGTTATAATGGACACAACTTGCGATCACACTAGAAATTGGACATGGCTTAGGATTGCCCCATGTGTCACAGTGGACACGGTTTGGGGATTGTATATCATGATCACAGAGTACTTGCAGGATTCTATTGCTCCATGTTCATCCTAACAGAGGAAGAACATTATAGACAGGATGGGGAAGGGAAGGAGAGAAGAGATGGGGGAATGGTAGAATCAGTTTGGGTCTGCACACACTGTTATCATATCAATTAAAATTTTCAAGTTATGCTTGAAGAAAGGAGAGCTGCCGAATAAAGTTCAAATACAGTAGTTACAAGCCGAGCGGTAGATACATTCAAGCGGATTGAATTCTTCGACCAGTTACCTCCTTACTGCCCAGAGCTTCGTTCTCATGGATGGTGGTGATTGAGTGACGTGGCTTCACAACATGCAAGTGAGAAATGAAAGGATAGTGAAAGTGCGGAATAAAACAACAATGAGACATCAGCACACAGTGAAAAACGACATTCAGTATTTTGTGTGCCGTGGGACTGCGTAGTGCCGAGACGTGATTTTAAATAGAAATTAATTTGCTTGAAGATTAACGGGAAGGGAAATAACAGCTAGACGGACAGAAATTTGACCTGGGTTTAGATTGATTCAATTGACATAATGTAGCATTTCGAAGCATCTAGAATAGTGGAAATCAGGAACTCTCCCTCAAAAGGCTGTGGATGCTGGATCCATTCAAATTTTCAAGACTGGGTTGGATAGACTTTCGTTAGGTCAGGGTATCAAGGGATATGGGGCAAAGGCAGGAATTTGGAGTTGAGGTACAGATCAGCCATGATCTGAAGAATGGCAGAACAGGCTCGAGTGACTGAATGGCCTACTCCTGATCCTATGTTCCTATCTTGCTGTGAATTTGAAAACCTCTTAAATAGCCTCAATTTTGAAGCCAGTCTTCTGCAAATTCTCTTAAGAAACTATGCAAAACCGATTTCAAAGTCAAGACTGAATTTGAGAATTTGCCAAGTTCCAGATACTCTCAAATGCTAAGAAAATAGAGTCAACCCAGAGCCGGGTGGAAATTCTTCAAATTAGATGTTCAGTGAAGGAAACCAAAATAACAAAGCAATGGCAAAATGGCAAAGAACTGTCAATGCAGAAGAGCAATGGGTGAGCGGAGTTGACATTCATGAGTGAATTGGCCCGAGTAGGTATATTTATAGTAGTTCTGTTTGGGACAAGGGTGGGGAACTGGACTGGAGGTACAGATCAGCCATGATCTTTTAAAATGGCGGAACAGGCTTGAGGGGCTGAATAGCCTACTCCTGTTTCTATGTATCTATGTATCTTCACACTTGGTGAATGTAATGGTTCATATCTGAATCCCTCTATCAGCCAAAAGTGAGGGCGTATGAACCTATCACACACAAGCTCCTGATCAGTAAATAGTAGTTTAATCAGCAGCCTGGATTAGCAGATTGAGGAGGAAATACTGTAGAAAACAGCTGGGAGTGATTTACAAGGCAGTAATCTACAAGGCAGTTCAGATAGCAGTGTAATACGTGCAAGTGAAAAGTAAGATGTTTCAAACAATCTGTTGAGATGAGATGAAGGGAGATTGATTATTAGCTGGAAGGTGGGATGTACTTGCCAGAGATAACAGATCATCCAAAATTGGAATGCTTTAGGTGTGAGTCAGCTTGTGTTTGTATAGTTTTGTACTGAGTTTTTGGTTTAATTGGATCTGAAATTCATTCATTCAGGATATTAGAATACAGGCTGTGAGCTGCAAGATAATAACAACAATAATAATAATACTTGCATTTGATATAGTGCCTTAAGATAATCAATATACTGAGCGTTTCTGATAACAACAATAACATTGTAATGGTCCAAGAAATTTATCAGAATTGCAAAATTTCGATACAGGAACAGAAGAAAGAATATCCAAGCTGCAGATACACTCATGATCAGACCGTGGAACCCCTAAAGAATGTAATTAGCTCAAGCAGTCGGGCAGAAGAATGGCAGTTCCAGTTCAATGAGGCAAAGTGTGAGGTGTGAGAGAATGAGCATTAAATGGATACCTATTCAGATGAACATTAAAGGGAAAACAACATCTGACGTGCTTGTTTGCTCAGAGATGATTTTAGAGAATTACTTTAATGCTACATATGCCTGCAATTTAACAATCAGATTAACTGCCAGCGTTAGAAATGTGTAAGACATTCAAAAAATAATGAGGCAGGAAATTCATTAGCATTTTTGCAAACAACAAAGGGTCTTGGGAACATTCTCAGATTAAATGCTGTGTCGTTTTATCACACAACCTGCAATGTGACTTGGGCTGTAACCTCCAGCAGAAAAGCAGAAGTTAATCGTTAAGCCTAGGAGAGCACGGTATTCACCCCTCTCTGGCAGGTAAACGCTCGGGGGAAATAAATAAGAAGACTGGAGCCCAGGTTATGGAACTACATTTTTACAAAATAAACTCTCTCACCTCAGGATCACACAACATAGAAGCACTGGGATTGTGAGAGGAACAAACCACGAACCCGGAGAAGTATATCACCTGTTGGTGTTCCTTAATGTGTTCCTTAAATAACTTAAGGAATGCCCTCAGGAATATCGCAAATTTTTCACACACACCCTCTCCACTGTACTAGTCTCTAATGAGATACAAGGAATGTGTTTGTTTTAACAAAATAGCTACTTAAAAGATTGCAAACACTAAAAAAAGCAAAATAAGACTTTTACTGCAGTTTTGCTTGCATTTATGCAAGAGTTTTCTGAACACTAGCATTAAAATACTGTCACAATGTTGGAACTTCATTCCTGATCAATCAGCGTCTGAAAGAGAAAACTACAGTACGAAGCCCAATACCTGGACTAATTGAGACTGGCCTCATTGTAGATATGAAAACAATGTGGGTATCCAGGCTCTGAATATTCGTGTGTCACCCTCACTGTGTCTCTAATTGCATGTATGTATCTGTGTATATGGCTGTCTCTCTCACACTCTGCATTCTGTATCTCTGCTTCTCTGTCTTTCTCTCTGTACACTGTGTCTGTCTCTCTCTTTCTCTCTCTCTCCTACCCTCTCTAACTGACTGGTTAGGTCAGAGAGGCACATGGTTGTGGCCTCTCTCACACTGCCTGGTAAATCAATGAACATGGTGACTTCATGCGTGACTAAAACCTTTTACTGGTGACATGGCAGCTCTATTTCTTTTCTGTATCAGAGCCCAGAATCGAGTGGGCATTCATGTAAACACAGAAATCCACAGCACAGAAAAAGGCCATTTGACTCACCATGTCTGTGCTGGCTCCAATTTTAAAGAACAATCCTTTCAGTCCCATTTGCCTGTCTTCCCCCTATACCGGGATGGGGTTATGCAGAAGAGTCAAACCCGAACATTTGCCCGTTTTTCTCCTGAAGAATTTGATTGACGTGCTGTGGATTTCCAGTTTTTCGTTCTTTTAGTTTCTGATTTCCAGCATTTGCACTTTGTGTTCACTTTTTTTCCACCAATATCAATATGCCAGGCCATCTCTCTGGTGAGAGAGTAGCTGAGCATTTACATTGCGTGATAGTGCAGCAGAGTGCAGTTATCATTTACTTGTTCCAGCTATTGTCAATGTAAGTGCCTATCTTACTGTTAAGAGAACTCGGCATACTTTTCACATGAGGCAAGGCAATGAAAGAGAGGGCCTGTTTATTATGAGCTTAAGTGCACTGGACTGCATCTACTTCAGATTGTACATCTGCTGTTGGTTTTATAACAGCTTGCAAATGCATTAGATCCTTTTTTCTAAGGCTTCTTGTAATTCGGTAACAAGCATTTTAGTGAGGCCCAAAATTCCATCTTGTCTTAGCCGTTGAGAACATTTTACGTTAAAGTATAAGATTTTTGCAGAATTGTGGAAAATTCTTAAACTTAGTCCTTGAGTTGGATGTCAGTTTGCAGCATTGCATAAAAAGAAACCACATCAGGACTTCAGACACGTCAGCACACACAGTCCAGTCTGAACCTCCAATGCAGTGCTGGGGGTGTGCTGCATTGTTGGAGGTGCCAACCTTCAGATGAGCTATCAAACCAAAGTCCCACCTGCCTGCTCAGGGGATTAAAGATCAAGCAGCACTATTCGAAAGAGAAGGGGGTTTGTTCCGGTGTCCTAGTTAACATTCCCCCCAGGAGAAAATTGGTTACTCACTTCATGGCTGTTTGTGGAGCATTATCACCCACAAAATACACAGTCACTGCACTTGATAGTAAATTCTGTGAAGGACTTTGAGAAGTCTTGAAAGCGTGATAAGGCGCTATGTCAAATCCAAGGATTATTATTATTACTGTGAGCAAATTGGTGGCTGCATTCACCTCCAAAATATACAGTCACTGCACTTTACAGTAAATCCTGTGAAACGCTTTGAAATACACGTCTTCTTGATGTCGAAGGCGGTACAGTATGTCAAATGCAAGAATTATTTATTATTTATCACATAAACCAGCTTTCAAAATTAAGATTGAGTTTAAGAATGTTCCGCAGTTCTGCGTGATCCTAAATTTGAAGACAAACGTTATGTGGAGTTTGGGGCGGAGAGAGGGGGGAGTATGTGATTTACCAGTGATTTTTGTTGAAAATACAATCGCGAAAGAACGAAACACTTTAGCAATTCAGTTAGAAAAAAGAAAGAGAAGGACATTAACTAAGTCTGACTGACCAGCTTCTCACCTTAATGTACAAGGAGTGGACACTGCGAGAAAGGTTAGAGGTCATGTAATAGTTAGATGGGATATTGGGAGAAAAGCGAATATATGATCCAGAGGTTAGAGAGGTTACAGGCGAGAGAGACAGAGGTACGGACTGGGACATTTCCGGACAGCACGGTACAGTCTGGTACATATGATGGCACGACTTGGGGTAGGACACAGTAGTAAGGATGGTGGAGCATGGGAAGAGTTGCTGTTGAAGAAGAGAACAGACACAGAGCTCACGATAAAGCGGAACAAGAGAACAAGTCATTAAAATAAAATCCTTCTGGCTCCGAATAGCTTTTTTTTAAAAAAAACACGCAATGTGCACAACAATAAGGAGATGCAGAAAGAGCAAAAATAGTAATGGAATATGAGATTGGTAAGTGGATTGAAAATACTCGGTTTAACTAATGAAGCTCAGCAAAAAGCCGTTATAAAACAGTAACTGTGGGCAGAGAATACTATTGTACATCATTCGCTACATTTCTTCAGAGGACAAAAATGCATAATTGTAATTGCAGGTATATAAATAACGTGAGTTAAACATTGGCATAGCTCAAATGCTATCTCTTTCTCAATAGATATACGCAGATAAAATAAACCATTGCGATAGATAGAATAAACATTGCCTGGCAAGCTCAGCAGGGAAATGATGGCCGCTTTAAACAAACAGATAGAAATCTAGCTCATGTTTCCCAGTTTGTTGTGAAAATTGAAATCGAATACACACTAGCCAGGTTAAATGGACTGCCGCTTAGTCTAGCGAGTGACAGCATAACTTGTGGGAAGTTATGGCTTTTAATCATTTTCTTTCTCATTTAAAAATGAACTAATTTTGACACTCACACACTCATACATTGTGCAATTCCACTTGTACACAAATGGGGATGTGTGTGGTGGTGTTATCGTGTCACATTAAGTTCTACTCTGACAATAACTGGCTGTGCACGTGACCTCCCTTCCCACACACAATACCCACTCCCACTCCCCACCCCAATTCCATGCCAGTGGTTCAGCTCAAAGCCAGCCCTTGGAACTATCGTTGGTTCGGCTTATGGAGCGAGCCACTGGAATGCCAGTTTCTTGGTTACCTATTTAACTCAATCAATTACATGAGTTAAACCGGTATCCAAGGGTATCTGCACTCTGAAAGTTTGGCCTAATCTTGACATAGGACATGGGGAGTGGAGTTTTACCAGACATCGAAAGAGGTGGATTTCCCCGGGAAGTGATAATTATCATTGATAATAATTATCACACCACCCGTCTCCATTGAATCCACATACATCCCCCCCACCCAACTCTCCCATGTATCGTTATGGAACAGTTATGGAACTGTTGCACAGCATTCATTGGTAAACGAACACCTCCCCTCTGGTTCTTTAAGCTACTCACCTCTCGGATTTCGGCATCCGTGGTTTCTTCAAGATACTGCCTGAAAGGGTTGGGACAATACTCGACCTTCTCTGGGGTTACAGGTACCTTGTGGACAATAGTAACAGGACGGATCACTCCAGGTTTGGTCTAAAAGCAGAAGGTACATGGAATTCAGTTATACACTGGGCAGACAGTACGGATTAGAAGAATTTCATAATTCAAACAATGCAAATTTACATTTATATAAAAAAAATCCTTGCATTTGATACAGTGTTTTTCACGTCTTCGAGACGTCTCAAAGCGCTTCACAGAATTTCCACTGTGAATATACCATAAGACCATAAGTCATAGGAGCAGGAGTAGGCCATTCGGCCCCTCGAGCCTGCCCCGCCATTTAATAAGATCATGGCTGATCTTCTAATTCCATTTACCCGCCCTATCCCCATAACCCTTAAGCCCTCTATCCTTTAGGTAGGGCTTGAGTAGGTGACTGAGTTAGGGTAGTGTGAGGTGAGATCACGAAGGGATTTAAAGGTGACATCAAGGATCTTGAACCGCTGGGGGATAAACTTCCACCTCATGAGAAACTAATAATAATAATAATCCTTGCATTTGAAGTAGCGCCTTAGCACATCTTCGAGACGTCTCAAAGTGCTTCACAGAATATAGCGTAAAGAGAATTGACTGTTTATTTTGTGGATGAAGCGCGGCAGCCAATTCCGCATGGATGTTGCATCAAAGCTTAAATTGTTGATGCCCAGAATCTTGGTTCTTTCACTTTGTGTTCTCTCAATTTACAAGGATGTTAACAGGGATGAGCGGATGCAGCTATCAAGAAAGATTAAACAGCTTTTCTCTAAAGAGTTGAGACGATTATGAGGGTGACTTGAAAGAGGTGTTCAAGATTAGGAATGGATTTGATTTAGGTGGATGTTGATGGATTGTATCCATTTGTTGGTGAGTCCATAATTAGAGGACATAAATATAAGACAGCTAATGGTAGATCTAATAGGGAGTTTAGGAGAAGCTTCTTCATGCAAAAGGTGGTGAGAATGTGGAACCAGTGAGCAGCAAGGAGCATCAATGTATTTAAGAGAAAACTTGATACATACATGAAGGAGAAGGGCATATAATATGTAGAAGAGGAGAAGAGAAGTGAGGGCTTGAGGGGAGTATAAACACTAGCATGGGCTAGTTGCGATAAATTGGCTTGGTTCTGTGTTGTATCACTCTATGAAACAATGTAAATCTCAAGGGCAAAAGGTTTTTTTTATTGTTGGGTATTGTTGGCCAGGACACTGGGAGAAACTCCCTTCTCCTTTCAAATGGTGCCATGGGATCTTTAACATCCACCTGAACAGGCAGACTGGACTTTCTTCTATGCTGTAAATTTCTATGGTTTGATGGTTCTAGTATTTTGCTTAAGCACTCCGGGACGCTACCCCGTGTGAAGGACGCCATATAAATGCAAGTTGTTGTTGTTAAACAGTGTCTCCTCTAGCCCCCACGCCATCTTGTGCAGCATTCCTCATAGCTACGTCCTTGGTCCCCTCCTCTTCAATATCTACATGCTCCCTCTTGGTGACATCATCCGCAGACATGGGGTCAATTTTCATACGTAAGCGGATGACACCAAACTGTACCTTTCTACCTCCACCCTTGACTCCAGGACCACTGCTGTCCTGACAGAATGTCTGCTAGACATCAAGTCCTGGATGAGAGTTAAATTTCCTCAGTTGAACGTCAACAAGACCGAGGATCTCCTGATAGGCTCCCGTCAACGCCTCCACATCTCAGGTTTGACCTTCAACTATCCTTTCTACCACACATCTGTGCTATGACTCACTCTGCTTTCCCCCACCTCCACAACATCGCCCGGCTCCGTCATTGTCTCACACCGCAGGCCGTCAAAACCCTCATACCTGCTTTCATTACATCGAGGCCTGACTATGCAAACTCCTTGCTTTGCAGACTTCCCAACTCCTCCCTCCATAGGCTGCAGATCATCCAGAACTCTGCAGTCTGTGTCCTCTCCCGCACCAGGCTCCGTGACCCTATCATCCCCATCCTCGCCTGACTCCACTGGCTTCCCATCACACAAAGGATACAGTTCAAGATTGCGGTCCTCACCTTCAAAGCCCTCCGTGGTCTTGCTCCCCCCATTCTCTGTGATCTCCTAACCGCCCCCACCTCACTCGCCCCACTATTGGCAGACGGACCTTCTGCCACTCTGCCCCCTCCCTCTGGAACTCCATCCCACAGTCCCTCCACCTCACCCCCTCCCTTGCCTTCTTCAAGTCCTGTCTCAAGACCTTCCTCTTCGACCATGCTTTTAATCACCGTGCTTCCCCACCTGCTCTCCACCCTCTCAGATCCCAATCCCCAGCTCGGGTCCGAAACTCCGACTGTCCAGCACCTTGGGACGTCCTCCCGACATGAAAGGTGCTTTACAAATGTAATTTTGTTGTTGTTGTTATTATCGCAGCAAGCAGTGATTTCTAATCCCCAGTGAGATCAGTCACACACACTACTTACAGATTTAGTCTCTGCAAAATCAGATGCTGGCAGATAAAGATTGGCCTGTGAAAAGGATACAGAAGATGATGGTGAGTTTAGGACTTAATTTTATGTATTAATTATAATTAAAATAATAATCATCATCTTTGCATTTGATATAGCGCCTTATCATATTTCAATTTATTATACTGCAGCCATGTTTAATTTATGGGCAAACATGCATACAAATTTGTGGCAAAGAGAGACAGCTGCAGTATATTCATGTGACTCATTAAACTGACCCACAAGCTGGCTGGCGGTGAATAATAATAATAATAATAATCCTTGCATTTGATATAGCGCTTTTCACGTCGGGAGGACATCCCAAAGCGCTTCACAGAACACACTGTAAAGTGAATTGACTGTATATTTGTGGGCGAACCCTGCAGCCAATTGCGCACAGCAGTGTCCCACAAACAGTCGTGGATTGAAAATGACCAATTTATTATTGTTTTGTTTTGGAGGGATTATTATTAGGCGTGTGAGGGTAAGGAAACTTGCCCAAGGTTTCCCCCTGCCTGGAATTGAACTCAGGTGTCTCACTTGCAAAGCGAGTGCTCTAACCACTGAGCTACAGGGAATGAGGTTATTCAACAAACTGGGTGCAGATCTACCATAGTCTAATGGCTGTGGAAAAAGTGTCTGACCAAGGTGTTTAAAATAATGAAGGGAAATGTCAAGCTTACTGAGTGGGTGGTTGGTCCCTGTGATACAGACAAGGAGATCCAAGGTTAAGATCACAATTATGGCAGTCAGTAATGAGATCACAAAGCAGGAGACTGTCAAATGGTGGAATCCACTGCCCCAGAATGAATGTCGTAAAGGCAGAATCATTTGAGACACACCTGGCGTCTCCATCACAAACCATATCTGAGACAGAGTCAAAGATTCATTTTAAAGGGAAGTGAATGTATTCTTGAATCAGGGGAATATTAAAGGGTATGAGGAGTGAACAGGGATATGGAACTAGATTGATTCTTGATGGGCAGATTTGATTGGGTCAAATGGCTTGTTTCTGTGTTGTAGCTCCAGGAAGCTATCCTGAGTGAAGACGCTAAATCAATATAAGTTGTTGTAACATTCATTTTTGCGATTGTACAAATACTCATTCACAGTTTTAAAAAATCTCACAGAGCAATCAGTTTTGAGATACGATGACTCAGAGGATACCGCACAAAGATGTATAAAATTTTAAATGAGATTGAAAAAGTAAACCACGAACAATATTATAGGATGCAACAGGACAGTAGAACAAGAGGACGTAAGTTTAGAGTTGTAAACGGCAATTTTCAGACAGATACCAGGAAGCTTTTCTTTATGTAGGTAATTAACAACTGGAACAGGTTGTAAGACAGGTGGATGAGACCAGGACACTGGATCAAAAAAGTAGTTTGATCCTGTGATGGGGATTGGCAGGTTGAGTATTCTGGAAAGGTGATATCAGATGGGCCGTAGGACTTTAAGAACATAACATAAGAATTTACTAGGCGAAAGACCAAGGTCCATCTAGTTTGCCTTTCACCATTCTGGCAGTCGCTTGACATGTCGTGTTCCAAACTATAATAATAATAATCCTTGCATTTGATGTAGCGCCTTATCACAACTTTGAAATATCTCAAAGCGCTTCACAGAAGATACAACAACAACAACAACAAGATTCCATTTATAGAGCGCCTTTCACGTCAGGAGGACGTCCCAAGGCGCTGCACAGTTGGGTCATGACCCGAGCAGGGGGGGAAATGGTCAGGGTGAGGGGAGGGAAGGGAGGGAGAGAGGAGGGGGAAATGGTCAGGGTGAGGGGAGGGAAGGGAGGGAGCGAGGAGGAGGAAGAGAGACGAGAGGGGAGCTGAAGGCACGGTCAAAGAGAAAGGTTTTGAGACCGGCCTTGAAGGAGGAAAGGGAGGAAGCAAGGCGAAGGCACTGGGGGATGGAGTTCCAGAGCCTGGGGGCTGAGAGGCTGAAGGCCCGACCACCGATAGTAGGGCGGTTGGGGCGGGGGACGTGGAGCAGACCGGAGCCAGAGGAACGGAGGGTACGGGCAGGTAGGTAGGGGGATAGTAGGTTGGAGAGGTAGGAGGGAGCAAGGCCGTGAATGGCCTTGTAGGTGAGGATGAGGATCTTGAAATCAATCCTCTGGGGGATGGGGAGCCAGTGGAGGCGAGCGAGGGTGGGAGTGATGTGGTCGCGGTGTCTGGTGCGGGACAGTACACGAGCTGCAGAGTTCTGAATGACCTGCAGCTTGTGGAGGGAGGTGGCGGGAAGGCCGGCGAGGAGAGAGTTCCCACAGTCCAGCCTTGAGGTGACAAAGGCGTGAACCAGGGTTTCAGCAGCGTGAGGGGTGAGGTAGTGCCGTAATCTGGCGATATTCCGGAGATACTGTAAAGTGAATTGACTGGTTATTTTATGGGTGAAACGCAGCAACCAATTGTGCACAACTGTGTTCCACAAATAGTCGTGGATTTAGTATCCAAATCTTATTTTTTTTTTGAAGGAATTATTACCCCTGGAAAAGTGATCCACCAATCAATTAACAATCGGGTTCCTACTTACTACTAGAGGCGTGCGGACTAAGGAAATTTGCCCAACGTTTGCCCTGGGATGTACTGTATCCTGAGATATTATATTCCAGCAGAAATCTATCTAATTTGTTCTTGAAACAAACAACATGTTCTGCTTCCACTGTTCCCCTAAGGAGCCTAGCTTTCTTCATCTAAACCAATCTTGTGAACTTTTTGCAACAAAAATCGCAATGTGCTCAAAGGCATTTCCAGCACTGGGAATGAATGATGCCTGAGAATGTGGAGTTAGTCATAGCAGCAACGAACAAGCCAGGAGTTGATACCACCAGGTCACCTTTTCAAAAATTGGCATCCAGTGAAATGTAAACGGAAGGGGTCATGTCCCTATGCGTGGGGTGAGAAAATGTGCCAAACTCACATCCTCCCATCATCTATCAGACTGTGTAATGGCTTTTATGCTCCGTGGATCACATTTGAGCGAGCTATCCTCAGTAGATACAGAATGCAATTAAACACTTCATGCAGTGTAAGTAGCACAGAAATGTAGTTCCTCCAGAGAAGAAAGTGAATCTTTCCTGATGGTCAGGTTGGATTTGGGATATTAGCAAGGTTCCTTTCCATTATCCTGTGAGCAGATTATAATAATAATATAATAATCCTTGCAATTTGATATTGTGCCTTATCACACCTTCGAGACATCTCAAAGTACTAAATAGAATAAATTATAAAGTGTAGTGGCTGTATATTTTAGATTTCAAGCATTTGCGTCACTAGCGACATGCACAGCAGAGTAAAATGAATTGCAATCCTGTGTCTCACTGCACAGCGCTCCCTCAATAAATCACAGCAAAATAAAACTTACGTATTTGGTTTCTCGCCCACTTGTCCTTGGTACAGGGCTCTTGGGCTGAAAAGCAAAGAGAAATTCAAAGATTATCTTCACCTCAGATACAGGCGTGGGGTTTCTACACTCTCCCTTAAACCCTCCCAACCAGGTCGCTCCCTCCACTCAACAGGCACTGGCCTGCTTCACGTCCCCCACCCCACTATAGGGTAGAGCTTTCAGCATATCCGCACCCACTTTGTGGAACTGCATTTCCGAGTCGCTTGACTGACCCCTTCCCTCAGTTCCTTCAATATCTTCCTCTTTGACTGCACTGTCAGCCATCTTCCTTCTCCCCTAGTTATTTCCATTGATCGGTGAGTCAGTGACTGGAGGGCATCAATCTAGGATAGCAAATGAGCCAATTGGAGGTTAGGTGGATTTTTATTCACTCATAGAGTAGTTAGGATATGGAATGCCCTGTTATGAAATATCCTTCAAGAAAGATTTTCTTTCCACGAGCTTCAATAATGTACTGTAACGATTTTTAGGCAAAAACAGCATAGGAGTGACCCTTCAACTGGATCTGCCCAACTTTACACCATCACGTTAAGTTGATGAACTAAAGCAAACTTGATCTAAAACTTTCACTTGGGAGGTTAGACATGTTAATAGTTACAGCTTCTAAGTCAGAAACACTTGCACAAAAAAAGTATTAATTTTATAAATTCTCAAATTTAGAAAAATCAGGGATTTTAATTAATTTGCTGTATTTCTTAACAGATTCCTTAATAAGCGTGACGCAAACAGAAACTCAGGTGACTAGAAGCACATCATGCCAACGCAGACCTGTCTCATGTTCGCCCCCACCCCCCAACATCCCAAACCCTAGTACAGAATTGATAGAATTCTCAAGCAGTTGCTTGTTAAGAAATCCCAATAAGAAATACTGAAAATATTATTTTCAAGTTCCAGTTGTACAAACAGCACAGGACCCCAAACAGAATCAAAGTGAGGTGTAATATTTTCAGGCATCAAACAGTGATAACATTTAAACAGTTCAAAAATCTCCCTGAAATTTCAATTGCGTAGGAGACATTCAATCCTTAGCACAGTATAAAAGGATTTTACTCGCTAAGTGTTGTTGTTTTGTGGGACAGTAGTGCATAGTTATTAACTGACAACACATCTTGTTTTGATCCTTATTTTAAAAACACTGAAGATACAACACTACTGTGTCAATTTTAATATTCTTGTAATTTAGCTGGTTCTAAAGAAATGGCCTTTTTGAGTCTCTTTTTAATCACTTGAATAAACGTTTTTATATATAAGACTGCTTGGGTTTCAAAGGTCGATTGGAAAAGCAATGAAGCAAATTAAATTAAATGAATAAAAGGATTTCACAAATTTAGGGGGAAAATTTTAAAACATGCAGAAATGATAATAATAGTCAGAAAAAAGGGAGAGTAAGTTGGAATACTTTGAATAAGAGAATTTGCAGCACAGAAAGAAGTCATTCCACCTACCAAGTCTGCACCAGCAGAAAGGAAAGGAGAGCATACAAAAGTAGATTTTTGTTTGATTTAGCACTGTCTTAGTCCTATTTTGGTTTGATATTGCCACTATTTACACATCAGTAATGTATTATTAATAATAATAATCCTTGCATTTAATATAGTGCCTTATCACATCAACAAGACATCTCTAACGCTTCACAGGCCGTGCTGTAAAGTGGATTGACTGTGTATTTTGAGGGCGAAACATGGCAGGCAATTGCGCACAGCAAAGTCTCACACAAAGCCATGAAGTGAGTGACTAATTTTATTTGGGGGTTGTTGACCAGGACACCGGGAGAAACTCCCTTCTCTTTTTGAACAGTGCCATGGGATCTTATCATCCGCTATCAGTGTTAGCTTAGACTATGTGATTCCAAGTCCCGACGTGGGGATTGAACCCACAACCTGCTGACTCAGAGGTGAGAGGGTCCACCACTGATTACTACAATATCAGTGGCTGTTTCAACATCACATTGCATGAGCTAGGTATGTAAAATATGACCAGCCCGAGGAGACATTGCTTTCCATTGACCCAGTGACAATCTGGCGTAAGCTTTAATTGACTGTTGCCAGTGTGACGAAAATAATAAATCAACGTGTCACTGCTTATCTGGAATCAACATTCTGGCTACATCACAGCTAAAGTCTATTTTCCTTAGTCGTACCATTCCTGTGCTGTGCACAACTGATCCACGGCAAACAGGCCCACTGCAACCCTTACAGGCTAACACAGGTACTGTAGCACACGCCTTAACACTTACTTTCTGTGCCTCGGAATCCAAGAACTTCTGCAGGGAAGTGGGAGTGGAACTGGAGCAACGCTGGAAAAAAGGGGGAGTGGGATGTGAGGATATGATCAAAGGTTCGCGTGGGGAGGAGTTGAAAGCAGTAAATCGACAGGGAAAGAAAATTATACTTTTCCACTCTGTATTACCGAAGGCAGAGGCTCCTCTAAGACTCTTTCAATGGTAGCGCACAGTTCGTCCGTCTGCCGTCTGAGACTCTCAGGTTCATATAAGAACTGTGAAAAGGTAAATATGATCATTTTACTTTAGCATCTGCCCGACACAGTACTGGCAGCTTATCTTTGACATGGAGTGGTGAGAGCACTCCCCTTGCAAGCGAGAAGACCCAGGTTCAATTCCCAGTCAAGGCAAAACCTTAGGCAAATTTCCTTACTTACACGCCTGTTTACCTAGCAGTAAGTAGGAACTTGGTTGCTAGTCAATTGGTGGATCGCTTTCCAGATGTAATAATACCTTCAAAATAATCTAACTTGCTCACTCAATCCACGACTGTTTTTGGAACACTGCTGTGCGCAATTGGCTGCCGCGTTCCGCCCACAAACTACACAGTCAATCTACTTTACAATATATTCTTTGAAGCGCTTTTGAGACATCTCAACAAATAAGACTCTATATTAAATGCAAGGATTATTATTATTATCTTCAGGACACCAACTCGGTCACATTTACTTACCTCTGACTGGCTTCTCTCCGATGTCTTGCACTCTCCAGACTCACCGAAATCCTCACTGACTGCTTCATCGACAGCCTAAGAAAGGGAAGTACAAGGTACTTTATTGAACACCCAAACTCACCCAAACATTCACAAAGGACCAGAGGGTATCAGCATTTAAAAGGAAAGACAGTCCTGCTTAAAAGAGAGTGGTTTGATCTCAAAGCTCCTACACGTGTGTTGCCTCAAAATGAAGAAAGCCATTTCGCGTTAAAATTCCATTCCTTATTTAAGGAACGTTGTTAAAATGTGTTTTGAAGTACCGTTTCTCACCCTCTGAAATTTGAGTGTCAGCCTGGCTCAGTCGGAACACTTTCGCCTCTGAGTCAGAAGGTTGTGGGTTCAAGCCCCACGTCAGGACCTAAATTCACATCGTCTAAGCTGACACTCCAATGCAGTGCAGGTATTGTCAGAGGTGCCGTCCTTCGGATGAGACGTTAAACCGAGGTTCCGCCTGCCTGTTCAGGTGGACGTAAAAGATCTTTCACCTCATGCCTGGTTAGAACTGCCAAAATATATGGCACAGAAGAAGGCCATTCGACCCATTGTGTCTGTGCTGGCTCTTTTAAGAATAATGTTTCAGTCCCATTTACCTGCCCTTTACCCACATCTCTGTAGATTACTCACTTCAGGTATGTATCTCGTTTCCTTTTGAAAGTTAATATGGATTCTGCCTTAACCACTATTCCCAGCTGGGCATTCCATATCCTAACTACACTGTGAGTGAATAAAAATCCATCTAACCTTCCATTTGCTCGTTTGCTATCTTAAATTGATGCCCTCCATTCACTAACTCACCAACCAATGCAAATAATTTCTTCCTGCCATCAAAATAGCACTATCAAAACGTCCTAGTTCCTCCAATTTGAAAGATTTTGTCAGCGCAAATGGTTGCCGTATTTACCTACAAAACAGTCACTTCATTTGTGAAGCTCTCTGAGATGGCATCGTGAATTGCAAGTTCTTTCTTCATTTATGCTCCTGATAAAAAGAGACCAGTTACAAAATACGTTTCTGATTTTTCCACAACTGTGCTGGAAGTCGGGAGTTTTTCTTCAGTATCTGATAACTAGGAATTAAACCGATAATGGTTTAAAACTAATGCTAGATGCTAAACTGAAAGTACCTTTGAAATTCCAAGATACATTCTATCAGTCGAACCCACACTAGCACTACATTTGCAGGCTGGTCTAAGACTTAACCTGTAGCTCAGTGGTTAGAGCACTCGCCTCGCAAGCGAGAGACCTGAGTTCAATTCCAGTCAGGGCGAAACCTTGGGCAAGTTTCCTTACTCCACACACCTAATAATAATCCCTCCAAAAAACAAAAAAAACAATAATAAATTGGGCATTTTCAATCTACAACTATTTGTGGGACATTGCTGTGCGCAATTGGCTGCTGGGTTCGCCCACAAATATACAGTCAATTCACTGTACAGTATATTCTGTGAAGCACTTTGAGATGTCTAGAAGATGTAAAAAGCGCTATATCAAATACAAGGATTATTATTATTGCCAAGTAACTGCCTGTCAGTCCTTCTTCCTTTGGCATTTTAAGACATTAAACTGAGGTTCGGTCTATCTGTCCAGGTAGATGTTGAAGATCTCATGACACCATTCAAAAAGGGAAGTCTTGGCATACAATCCCCTAATTAAAGCTGTTTATTCACTTTATTTGTCGTTAATGGCTGTTTGTGGGACATTACTCTTCACAAATTGGTTGCCAAGTTGGCCTACAAAACACACGATTACTGCACTTTGAGTCATTGTTCAAAAGTGAATGAAGTTTTATCAAACACAGGCATTATAAAGCACAGTGCAGTCCTGTAGCTTAGTGGTTAAAGCACTCGTCTCACAAGCGAGAGGACCTGGGTTCGATTCCTAGGCAGGGCGAAATGTTGGGCAAGTTTCCTTACTCCACACGCCTCTGTTCATCTTGCGGTATATAAGAACCCGGTTGTTAGTCGATTGGCGGGTCGCTTTTCCGGGAGTAATAATCCTTAAAAAATAATAATTTGGTCACTCAATTCACAACTGTTTGTAGGACACTGCTGTGCGCATTTGGCTGCTACACTTTGCCCACAAAATCTACAGTCAATTGACTTTTACAGTATATTCTGTGAACCGCTTTGAAACATCTCAAAGATGTGATAAGGCGTTATAGCAAATGCAAGGATTATTGTTACTTTCTCCTCAGGGCTTTTATTGTAGGTAATTACTGCCACCTAGGGCATTGACTATGGACCTTGTTAGGGCACTAGGAGAGCAAATGGTTGAATTTAGCAACAACACAGGAACAGACTGATTCAGGCGTGTCCAGAGCAGGAATAGCTAGGCTATGAAATAGCTGTTCATTCTTCCTGCCATCATGATTAATCACTGTTTTAGGCAGCCATGGTTGCTGAGCGTGGAAATAGCCCAGGATCTCAAAGCCACTTTGACAAACATTATCTGTATTGAGATGCGAAATGATTGACACATCTGGGGAAAGTTGAAAACCTAAACTGACATCCACAAGAAACTGATGTATCATACTTCTGCAGGTGTGCGTTGGCTCTGGTCTCCTGCTTGTCCCTTGTCCACTCTGCTCCACCATCAGGCACGGAGCTTTCAGCCACTACACCCCGAAGCTTCGGAACTCTCTTCCCCAATCCCTCTGCCTTGACCCCTCCCTCCCCTCTCTTTTAGATCACGACTGAAGACCTTCCACTTTCACTGTGCCGATGGTCACCTCCTCCCACCCCCCCGGCTTGGCCTCAGGCTCCGCCACTGTTAAGTGCTCCGAGATACTACCCTGCGAGAAAGGCACTACATAAATGCAAATTGTTGTTGCACTGAGTAGAAGTCAGACATTTTCACCTGAGCAAAGTGACTTCAACACTTGTACAACTCACATTCACATTGCTTTCAATGAATGAAAGTAAAATAGAACCAATACAGTACCATAGCCAAACCCTTCTACAGAATACTCAACAAACCGCAGAACAAGCACTTGACAAACATTCACTGCAATGTTGTTTTAGGATCGCCAGTGGAAGGCAGAAAGAAGCCCTCTGATCCTCACATCAATTACCCCCTCCATTTCGCCACCCACCACTCCGTCCTGTCCACCTGTGTCTTAAAACAACATGCCCAGCAATAATCTGCCAACACTGAAATGCAGATGTCTGTGACTTGTACTGCAAGAGACTTTTCTGTGGGCAGACACTGACCTTCTGCTCCAAGAGCAGTGTATTTGTTGGTATTGCAGCAAAGGTCTTATAACTTGACTTGATCTTGTACTGCAGAAGAATTGAGGGGGAAAAAAGTCAGATAGACTCACTGTGGTGAAAGTAAGAGATGTAGCAACAGTGGAAAAAGAGATATTAGTCAGCATAAATGATGGAAGGTTATTAATTTGATGACAAATCAAGTTGTTAAAGTAGTTATCTTCGGGGTGGGGGGGGAAATTGGAGACTTGTAATATATTTAGTAACACACAATGTGGTCAGTTTTAATTTAGTACTGTAATGCAGAGTCCTGTAGCGTAGTGGTTAGAGCACTTGCCTCGCAAGCGAGAGGACCCGGGTTTGATTGCCAAGTAGGCGGAACCTTAAGCAAGTTTCCTTACTCCACATTCCTCTGTTTACCTAACAGTAAGTAGGAACCCGGTGGTTAATCGATTGGTGGATCACTTTTCGGGGGGTAATACTCCCTAAAAAAAATGTGTTCACTCAATCCATGACTGTGCATGGGACTCTGTTGTCCGCAATTGGCTGCCACATTTTGCCCACAAAATATACAGTCAATTAACTTTATAGTCCAATATATTTTGTGAAGCGTCCCATATCAAATGTAAGGATTATTATTATTAAGCGCTCCAACGTGCTACCTTGCATGAAGGGTGCTATACAAATGCAAGTTATTGTTATTATTGTTGTCATTGATTACCCTCTGCGTAAAGAGAAACTTTCTGGTATCTGTCCTGGATTTGTCCTGGAGGCAGGGAATCAACTTACTCAGCTCCTGATAACCCTGTAATCCAAAGCCCTAATAGGTTGGGTGATCCTAGCTGGACAAGCAGCGGGAAAGCTATACCAATAGTGAGATTCAGAGTTTGGATAGCTTGATACAATGTACTGTGCAAATCTTAGAGACATTTTTCAATTAAATTTCATTGAAAAATTTCATTTTTCAATTAAAAAGTTTGAAGGATTAGTTTTGCAGTAGGGTCGTTCTGAACTAGTTCAGATCCTCAGAAATCTGCATTTGTACCAGTGGAGACAGGGTAAAAGCAAACTAGGAGCAACAATTCTTAGACACAATTATGGGCAAATTCAATCAATTTAGGAAATATCAAAGGATGGGGGATGCAATTTAGTCAGAATCCCTTCACTACAAATTCAATGTGTGAGGCATTTCTGTTATTTCATAGTTAAATCAACAGGAGCAAAAGATTTAAAACACACCTGACAAGACATTGAGCATAATAAACCTCAACATGCAGGTTTATATGTGGCACGTAATTGTCCCCCGACATCCATTACCAGTTAGAACATGCAGGAAGGAGAAAGATGTGTAAAGTACCTTTGGATCTGCTTTCTTAGTGTCGTTCTCAGTAGAACAGGACATGGATTGTACTGGCGTATGCGAGCCCAGTCTTGAGGAGGACATTGGAGGTGGTGATTGGGGTGGACCAGGTGACAGAGCATTGACCCTCGGGTTAGAAAGAGTTGCTCTCGCCTGAGCTGAAGCACTAAGGGCGAGATTGGGTCTAGAATGGATCTGGGTAGGAGGACTGTATGATCTGGGAGAAGAAGAAGCTGGTGGAACAGGAGAATGGGAGCTTCGTTTCAGTGAAGAGGAACGAGGGTTGATTTGAGGGGGGGTAGGAGGAAGAGAACTTGATCTCAGTGAAGCTAAAATGGGTGAGCTATTCATTGGGGTAGGAGTGAGGGAACCAGATCGTGAGGATGGACGAGAAGAAAATGAATTCACTGGGACAGGGGAAGGGGAAATGAGTGTGGAGGAGGACCCTGAGACAGGTTGCCCTGATGTGGGGGAAGTGGTGTGGGATCTTGCAAAATGAAAAGGCAATGGACTTGAGGGGGTAGGAGAAAGGCTGCCGCGTGTGACTGCGGAAAGATCTGAGCTGGAATAGTGGGTGGTTGGGGAGATTGGATTAGACCTTTCAGAAAGTAAATGATCTGATATGCTATCTGGTGAAGGAGATGTTGTCCTTTGTGTTGAAGATAATGATCTGAATGGAGAGGAGCAGCGTGGAGAAAAATATCCCAGAGTGGGGGAATTAATCCTAGGTGTTGGGGAGGTGGAATGGGAGGATGAAGGAAGGTCATTGCTGCAGATGAATGAAGATGGTTTGGATGCAGTTTTAGCTGGACTTGAGTAATGACCTTGATGCTTTAATGAAATGGTGGGTAGAGTTTTGGCTGTTTTTGGGGAACTGTTTTCACATCTTTGAGGCAAAGAGGTGAAGGAAAAATGTTCCACAGGCCCTGTGTGCACAGGAGATCTTAGAGATCTTGATGCAACTGAGGGCACTGACTCAGATATTCCACTAGAACACTGGAGAGCCTTCAATGGAATAGGAGAATGCATCCTGGCCTTTGGACAGGAAGACAATGTTGGTGAGGTGATTGGAGTAGGGGAAGATTTCTCAGAGGCCTGGGAATAGATGGTGCTCCGAGAAGCAGCCGGGGAGAGTAATCTCGAGTGTGAAGGGGATTTGGAAGGTTTAGGAGGCAACTTTCCAGACCTCAGAATGGAAGTTAACAGTGACAACTGGGTCGGTGGAGAGGACACGATCCTGGATTTTGCTGTTGTGGAACTTGTTGAGGTGCGGCAGGGATTATTAAAGGTTCGAAGAGAATGCCGAAGACCTGAGGACCGAAGAGATGACTGTTCAGGATTCGGAGAGCACGTGGTAGACCTTGAAGAAGGAAGAGGAAATGGAGACCAGGGTGCAGAAGAATGCAAGTCATTACAACTCAGAAAATGTAAAGGGGATGAAGGGTAGATTGGGGAGTCTGGTTCAGACTTTGTGAGGGAAGAGCTGGATGGGAATAGGGTCTTGTTATTAACATCTCTGGGCAAAGAGTCGGAAGACAAGAAAGATGTCTGGGAGGATATCAAGAGAGGGGACCGGGGTAAAGAAGGGTATTTCTTTTGAGGTTTTGTGGTGGTAGAGCAGAGTGAAGATTTATTGAATGAAGATAAAACAGAAACATGTCTCATATCAGCTGTGCTGCATTGTCCATTCTCAATCATAGTAGTTACTGGTTGAGTAGCGAAGGCAGAGGTGAGGTTATGAGGAATACAAGACGTGCTTGACTGCAAAGAGTAAGAAAAATAAAGAAAGTAAGTAACAGAAGCTAACGCATCAACCAAAGCTTAACAGACAATCTACAGTGTTTGATATTAAATTGTTAGTCACTGCGTGGGTTTTGTTCAGAAAAGCTCCAGCATTAATACATTTTAAAAGATATTTTTATGCAAAATTGCTAGGTTACGAACAGAAAATAGTAATTTGTTTAGGTGAGAAGAAAACTTTGTAAAATTATATACGTAAAACTGTGTACAATTACATATGTGCAAACTTTGTAGAATTACATGTAATTTAATTAATCAATTAAATGCAACTAATTTAATGAATTCGTTAATTTAATTCATTGTATGATCAATCTGGTCACTCAATTCACCACTGTTTGTGGGATACTGCTGTGCGCAAATGGCTGCCGTGATTTGCCCACAAAATATAATCAATTCACTTTACAGTATATTCTGTGAAGCGCTTTGAGACTCTCGAAGATGTGATAAGGCGCTATTTCAATGATAAGGATTATTGTGATTACATATTACATATGTAAAAATAAACATTGCAAGCTAGACCAAAAATATTATCAAAGGCAATTTGCTGTTCAGAATGTAAAATAAAACACCTGTCAATCCTTTAAACACAAAATCGATGAATTATTTCATCCCCACAATGGGTTTGGAACTTATTAGGCTCTGATTTCTGATCAAATTGATGAGTAGATCCATAAAATTTTATAGCACAGAAAAAAGTGATTCAGCCCCTTATGTTTGCATTGGATCTTTGAAACAGCCAAAACTGAACACAATCTTTCTCAAATATGCATAATTCTGTTGCACTAAACGTTTCTTTTTGCCTCTCCTCAATTCTCCCTTGACACCCACAGCAAAATCCAGCAGCCAAGTCGACCTGAGAAACTAATGTAGAACTTAGTGCCTGCTGTGTAAAAAGTCTCAAACAACAACAGTTTGTTGGACACTGCTGTGCACAATTGGCTGACTCATTTTTCCCACAAAATACACCATCAATCCACTTCACAATATGCAAGGATTATTATTATTAAGTGCAGCCTCCATGGTGTTCTGCCCTCCTGCCTTTTTTAGACTCCGGCAGCTTTTTGTGTCAGCCTGGTTCAGCTGGTAAACACCCTTATCTGAGTCAGAAGCTCGTGGATTCGAGCTCCATATTGGAGCTTTTAGCCCGTTGTCTAGGCTGACATGCTTTACAGTGCTGGGGAAACACTGCATTGCTGGAAGTGGCGCCCTTCAAATAAGACATTTAACCGAGGCCCCATTTGTCTGTTCGGGTGGACGTTAAGGATACCTATTTGAAAAGAGAAGGAAGATTGTTTCTCCCGTTATCCTAGAAACAATCTCCAACTAAATTGGTCATTCACTTCATGTCTCTTTGTTAGATATTGCCTAACAATAAACTTTACAGAAAAACTTTGCAAAGCACTTTGAGAAGTTTGAACGTGATATTCAGAAATTGTTATTCAGAAATTCCAGTGAACTGTTTTGCCGCTATCGCAAATCAGATAGCTTTCTGAAGCAGCAATTAACAATTTGGTAATATGGCAAATTAGACCCAAGTATTGGCAATTACAAAAGGGAATTGAATAGGTTATACAATGACGTTTGAGAGACAAGGCAAACAGGTACTTAGAACTAGGACTGACCAGGGCAGGACATTAATGCTTTATTCCTCTCTTAAGATCTATGACATTCATGCCATCAGATAGAAAAGACTTTCATCTTATCAATCCAGGCTGGATTCAGACCCACAACTCAGAGTAAACCAACTCATCACACCACAGGTCACACAAAACCCACTGGGGTTTTATCTCTGGGAAAACTCAACAGGTCAGGCAGCAACTATGGAGAAAAGATTCTCTATAGATGCTGCCGGACCTGCTGAGTGTTCCCAGCGACGTCTATTTTTATTTCAGATTTGCAGCATCTGCAATATTTTGTGTTTTGGGGCTTTATCTCCATTGTACAGTATGGAAAACATTTAAGACGTCACATAGTCTGAAGAATTTGCTGCATTAAGTGTTTTAATAGCATTCCACAACACTAAAGCATTTATTCAAGTCTGATACATAAGTGCCAAAAAGACACAACATGTTCAAGAACAAAATGGCATTTATAGTAAAATAAAATTTACCCTGAAATCTCCTTATTTCAGATTTTAGTTTGAATCAGAATTGTTATGGAAATCAGCTAACACTGAAAAGTCTTCACAGAGCAAATTGGACTGCATCTTTAAGGTGGTATTGATTGTTGCCCCATAGCTTGTCTATAGGTACATAAGAAAATCCTCAGAACATTTAGATAGACAGATAAAGATAAATCGCCTCATTAAAGCGTTGTCACGTATAAACTCAGTGATGATTTCCCTGAAATATATTCTGCTCCAGTGCAGTTTGATAGTAATGTTGGATCACAGTTACTCAGTAATCTTACAAGATTGTAATACCTCAAGAGGTTCAAATGACACAAACAGGTAAAGGTTGTGACATTTCAAACCTACCACCAGTATTAAAATAATGCCTTCTACAATATAATAATAATATTGGCAGCCCTCCTGTTAAGTGTAATTAATGTTGTACTCATCAGTTTTCAGACCCTAATCCACTCGACTAGCAAAATATATATTTAAGCCGGGAAGATTGTGAATTTTATTCCTCATCAGCAGATCAAGCATAGAAAACGGATATTAAAAATATACCTCAGACACTGCTCTGGCATGTATGGTTCACAAAACTTACTCAACTCACTTCAAAATGAAATCAGATCATAGCGATATATATGCAAGGCAATCACTTAGTAGTGTTGCAAGATTGTAAAACAAGGGGAGTAAATTCAGAACAAATCTGCAGAAATACTACATCAGTGATCAAGTAGTAAACGTATGGAACAGCTCCCTAGGGAGGAGGTGAAAATAGAAAGTGTTGGTTCTTTCAAGAACAATTCAGATAGATTTCTGTTGGAAAATATTATCTCAGGATACAGCATGTAGTTTGTGCATGCAACTGCCAGGATGGTGGGAGGCGAATTGGATGGACCTTGGTCTTCTTTCGCCTAGGAAATTCTTACGTTCTTATTCAAGTGTTTCAAATGACATAAAAGGCCAAGTTTGTGTGATTTCAAAACTATCACCGACAGTCAAATCTGCCAACTACGTAGTAGCACAATCTTTCCTCGTCAGTGGTAAAATTAACTTTTTAACCGATTGGAGTGGTTGATAATTTAATGCTGTTGACAGTTTTGAAACGTCGTAAACTTTACTGAAGAGAGTAAGTCTCAAATGGTTTGGAAACATCACATGCATTCTGAGTCAAGTCACAGCCTTGAACAACTTTGGGTAAATAGATTATGTAAGGTGGGCTTTAAAGGTCCCAAGACACTATCCGAAAAAAGGACATTCTCCCGGTGTCCTGGCCAACAATCCCCTAAATAAAATTGGTCACTTACTTCATGGCTGTTAGTATAACATTGCTATGTGCAAAATTGTCTATTAGGTTCACCCACAAAACATAGTCATTGCACTTCACAGTATATCCTGTGAAGCGCTTTGAGATATTCTCCCGATGAGAAAGACATTCTACCAAATAGAAGTATTATTATTATCTATTTCTAAATATTCTAATATGACTCGCAAGCAATTTCTCCACCAGTTCTTTTTGTGAGAATTAATCAAAACAGTGTGAACTGCGTTTCACAGCCTGTATTCACTAAACTATGAGGGAGGGAGAAATGACTATTCTAATCTCACTTTAGATTTGTTAAATCTACATTCTTCACTCAAAGCTAAAGGTGAATAATCTGCTTACATTGTACAATCCAGAGACTTTAGCAATGTTTTAGTGTACAATGAACACATGTTCAGCTCTGAGAATTGGATGACATATTCTGTGAACACAAATTTAAGATTTGCTCATCAATCAGCCTGCAAAACATTTCCCACAATTGCTGGGTTTGGTCATCTCAAGCTGTGTGTGTCACCACTTTGAAGTGGTTAGAATTTCAAGTAACCAGGCACACCTTGAGCTGTCCTGCAAAGAGAGCTCTTTGGCTGAAGGCAGACACTTGCATTGCTACCCATGTAATACACCACAAATAACACAGCAGTTTATAGGCTCCCCCAGTGACAAGTCTCTAGCTCAAGAAATCAGAAAAAGACCTGCTCCCAGCCTATACCAAAGGCGCTATTTAGAAAGCAATGCTTGTAATATATAGGAACAGGAGTAGACCATTCAGCCCCTCTAACCTGATCTGCCATTCTATTAAATCACAGCTGATCTTTACCTCAACTCCAATTACCTGACTTTGCTCCATATCCCTTGATACCTTACCTAACAAACATCTATCGACTTCAGTCTGGAAAATTTGATGTATTCAAGACTGAGGTCTTTACATTATTGAAGTAAATTTGTACTGTATTGATTTTGAAGCTGGTTAAGGAGTGTGCACATGCCTTGCTGTATGACTTGTGTGCCGTGTTTAAGTTTGAGCGCTTCCACATCAGGAATTCGTGGATTCCTGTAGCTCAGTGGTTAGAGCACTCGCTTTGCAAGCGAGAGACCTGAGTTCAATTCCAGGCAGAGGGCGAAACCTTGGGCAAGTTTCCTTACTCCACACACCTAATAATAATCCCTCCAAAGCCAAAAACAATAATAAAATTGGTCGTTTTCAATCTATGACTGTTTGTGGGACATTGCTGTGCGCAATTGGCTGCCGCGTTCGCCCACAAATATACAGTCAACTCACTTTACAGTGTGTTCTGTGAAGCGCTTTGGGATGTCCTCCCGACGTGAAAAGCACTATATCAAATGCAAGGATTATTATTATTATTATTATAATTCAATCACTGGACGGAGTAAAGCAGTTCAAGATCATGTTTCTTTTCGAAGACTGAAACTAAACAAATGTGAAAAAAAAGGAAACACAACGTCCTACCTGTGTGTTTGATTTTTGCCACGGCCCGTCCACCTTCTTCTCAGCCAGTCGCAACACCGGGAGCTTTGACTCGCCCACTAACACTTTTGCTGGAGTAAAGTTTCTATTGGCAACGAGACCTGGTGACTGGCTTGAGAAGGGCAGTTTTGCTGCTGAATGCCTGAATTGAGTTCCACTTGACCCAGAGAAGCCATCAGATTCATTTGAATCCGCAAGGTAAACAAGCTCTGCCTTGAAAATCCCGTCTTGCACGGTCACCTGTTCAGAGGAGGTATGTACATCTTTCTCCTTCAAACAACGTCCCAGTGCTCCTTGACCATCAATGTCAGTAGACAAAACACCCACTGTAGACATGTCCTCTGCGATGTGCAAAGGCTGTAGGAAGAATTTTCAGTAGGTTAGTTTTTAGTTCGAGTTACACAGGTCTGTACTTGTATAATAATGTAATGACTAGTCACTGGGGGGCAGAGAATCCTCCCACTCAGCTCCTGTTAAACCTGCAAGCCAAAGCCCTAACAGGTAGTGTGGTTGTAGCTGGACAAGCAGCGGGAAAGCTTGCCAGACAGCGCTATCAATGGCAAGCTATGCATTTTTGCTGGACAGACTCCAGCAGTTCCCCAACGCATACTTTGAGTTACCCAAGCCTTGACTCTTGCCTTCTAGACTTAGGTAAGCAGGGAGCTTCCCTCCAGGGAGAAAGTGCGCATTCCATTGCAACAATCTATCGCTGAAATTTTCATGTGTAGATGGGATGCATGGAATTCTCCATTTGGTTTGGATAGTCTTAAGCATGATGATGGGTTTCTGCACGTGTCAGACCAAATAAATAAATGAATAAATGAATAAAGTGATAATCCTACATAGGGGAGAAAGGGGTCTATTCACCACCATGTGTAAAGATAAATGCTTAACTGTTGTGTTTGACTACATTACATTTGTTTGCCTTTAAAATACACAGTCACTACATTTTACAGTAAATCCTGTGAAGCACTTTGAGATGTCCTCCTGACATGAAAGGTGCTATATCAACTGTAAGAATTATTTATTATTATTTACTTTTCATTACCAATCAATTTATAGTTTGTAAAACACATGGAGAACCTCAGTGTGTTTAAAAGAAAACAAGATGCGTACTGGATGAGGGAGAAGGGAATAGAGGAGTTTAGAAACATTTATGCTACACATGGTTTACACAGTTAATAAACCGCTCACACCTAATTCAGCTGAAACCCTTATCCATGCATTTGTCACCTCTCGCCTCAATTATTCCAATGCCCTCCAAGCCAGATTCCCCAGCTACACCATTAATAAAATCCACTTAATTCAAAATTCCTTTTGCTCTTCTTGTGACTATCCTATAACTATGGCCTCTGGTCAATAATAATAAAAACAATAATCATCCGTGCATTTGATTTATCACATCATTGTAGTGTTTCAAAGTGCTTCATAGAATATAGTGTTAAGTGGATTGACTGTATATTTTGTGGGCGAAACACGGTATCTAATTACACACAGCAGTGTCCCACAAACTGACTTTAATTGAGTGATCACATTATTTTTGGGGGGCAGGGATTATTACCTCCAGAAAGCAATCTGCCAATCGACTAACAACCAGGTTCCTAATTACAGCGAGGTAAACAGAGGCGTGTGGAGTAAGGAAACTGTCCTGTGGTTTCACTGCTGAGCAAATCAGAAACGGGTTGCACCCAGAAAGTATAAATAGGAGATAGCTACGCGAGCCTCACTCGAGCCAGCTACATCCGGAGTGAGGCGAGGCCAGAGTGTGAGGGAATTTGGTGAGAGTGGGAATTAGGTGCAGAGGGGGAAGTGGGGGCAGGCTATATATCTTTGTATCTATATAAAGTTTGTGAAGATGGTGTGGCAGGTAAACTGCGAGGTCTGACACATGTGGGAGTCAATGGAGGGCGCTTTAAGTCCGGACGACTTCGTCTGCCGCAAGTGTCTGGAAATCAAAGAGCTCCAGCTGAGAGTAGATGAGCTGGAGTCTCAGGTGGAGACGCTGCGCAGCATTAGGGATGGAGAAAACTTCCTGTACAGCTTTATCCTGGAGCCGGACACTCCCCTGAGTCCCAAGGAAGAAGAATGTATCAGCGACGGACATGATTGGCTGACAGTCAGGCGGGCATGCAAGTGTTCCCGAAAGAGAGGGGTTGAAGAATCCCAGACTTTAGCCTTGTCAGACAGGTATGAAATATTGGCAACCTGTGTGGACAAGGAAATCTGCGAGGAAGACGGGTAAACTGACCCCAACGCCCCTGTGCAGGAGGTTAAAAATGTAATTCTTATTGGGGATGAGACAGTCGGGAGGACTGATACAGTTTTCTGTAGCCGTAGCAGGGAGACAAGAAGACTCTGTTGTCTTCCTGGGGCCAGGGTGAAGGATGTTACCGCCGGGCTGGAGATAAATTTGAGGCATGAGGGAGAGGATCCAATCATAATGGTACATATAGGGACCAATGACATTGGTAGGACCAGTAGGGACTTAAGGAGCGAGTTCCGGGAATTGGGAATTAAACTAAGGAATAGAACTTCCAAAGTGATGATATCGGGACTGTTACCTGAGTCAGGAGCTAATTGGTACAGGCAAAAGAAGATCATAGATCTGAATGCCTGGCTAAAAGAGTGGTGCGGAGAGCAGGAATTCCAATTCATGGGCCACTGGCACGAGTATTGGGGAAGATGGGAGCTTTTCCAAAGGAATGGGCTCCACCTAAATAGGGCCGGGACAAATGTCCTGGCTACGTGAATAAATAGGGAGGTAGAAAGGGCTTTAAACTACTAAGGGGGGGGGTAGGTAAAAACATAGTAAAGTATAGTCCACCACAGTTAAACTTGAGATCAACAAAAGCAAGAGAGCAGATTAACAAGGGAGAAGAGCAAAGTGTGTCAAGCAGGGAAAGGAAGTACAGTGATAGAGTGCTGGTGAATAGGGTTAATAGCCGGAAGTCAGAATTAAGGGCACTATATCTGAATGCACGAAGCATTCGTAACAAGATAGATGAATTAGTTGCACAAATAGAGACAAACCGGTATGATCTAGTAGCCATCACCGAGACATGGTTACAGGGTGATCAGGGATGGGAACTGAATATTCCCGGCTACGTGGTATATAGGAAAGATAGGCGATGTGGTAAACGAGGAGGGGGAGTGGCCCTGCTAATAAAGGATGGGATAAAAACAGTAGAGAGGAAAGATTTTAAATCTGAAAAGCAAGATGTAGAGTCAGTATGGGTAGAGATACGTAACTTCAAGGGGCAGAAAACTATAGTGGGAGTAGTTTATAGACCCCCAAACAGTGGTCAAAGTATCGCTCAAGGTATAAATCAAGAGATTAGTGGAGCATGTAGCAAAGGAAAGACACTAATTTTAACCTGCACATAGGCTGGGACAACCAAATTGGGAAAGGTAACATAGAAGAGGAGTTTATAGAATGAATTAGAGATAATTTTCTAGATCAATATGCTGAGGAGCCGACCAGGGAACAAGCCATATTAGACCTTGTTTTGTGTAATGAAACAGGGCTGATCAGCAAACTGGAACTTAAGGCTCCTCTAGGGCAAAGCGATCATAATATGATGGAATTTAGCGTTAAGTTAGAGAGGGAAGTAGTTAAGTCTGAAGCAAAAGTCTTCAATTTAAATCGAGCCAACTTTGCTGGTATGAGAGAGGATTTAGCCAGAATAAACTGGGAGACTAAACTTAAAGATTTGACGGTAGACCAGCAATGGCAGACATTCAAGGAGATAGTGCAAAATTCCCAACGAGCACATATTCCTTTGAGGAATAAGAATGCCATGGGAAAGGTGGTGCAGCCATGGCTAACTAGAGCAGTTAGGGAAAGTATCAAATCAAAAGAAAAAGCCTATAAAACAGCGAAGATGAGTAGTAAACCCGAGGATTGGGAGAACTTTAGGGAACAACAGAGGAGGACCAAAAAATTGATCAAGAGGGAGAAAATAGATTACGAGGGCAAACTAGCAAAGAACATAAAAACAGACTCCAAGAGTTTTTACAAATATATAAAGAGGAAAAGGCTAGCGAGGGTGAATGTGGGTCCATTACAGGCAGAGACCGGAGGAATTATAATAGGGGACAAAGACATGGCAGAGTCATTAAACAAGTATTTTTCTACAGTCTTCACCGTAGAAGACACTGGAAACATACCAAAAATAGAGGACCAAGAAGACAATGTTAGCGAGCAACTTAGGGAGATTAACATTAGTAAAGAGATGGTTCTAGGTAAATTGTCGGGTCTTAAAACCGATAAATCCCCTGGACCGGATGGCCTGCATCCGAGAGTTTTAAAGGAGGTGGCTACTGAGATAGTGGATGGCATGTCTATAATCTTCCAAAAGTCTGTGGATACTGGAAAAGTTCCCATTGATTGGAAGATTGCAAACGTAACTCCACTATTTAAGAAGGGTGGGAGAGAAAATAGGGAAAACTATAGACCAGTTAGTTTGACGTCAGTTGTAGGGAAAATTCTTGAGTCCTTAATAAAAGACGTAGTTATGGGATACCTGGAAGACCATAAAAAGATTAGGCAGAGTCAACATGGCTTTACAAAAGGGAAGTCATGCTTGACTAACCTTTTAGAATTTTTTGAGGATGTATCCAGCAGGTTGGATAAGGGGGAACCAGTAGATGTGGTATATTTGGATTTTAGGAAGGCATTTGACAAGGTGCCACACAAAAGGCTGTTACTCAAGATCAAGGCCCACGGGATTAATGGGAAAATATTAACATGGATAGAAGAGTGGCTATCGGGTAGAAAGCAGAGAGTAGTGATAAACGGATCATTCTCGAATTGGCAGGATGTAACTAGTGGAGTGCCACAAGGATCAGTGCTTGGGCCTCAGCTATTTACCATTTACATCAATGATCTGGACGAGGACATTGAATGTAATGTGTCTAAATTCGCGGATGATACTAAACTAGGTAGCAGAGTGAGCTCTCAGGATGATGCAAAAAGATTGCAACAAGATATAGATAGGCGAGGGGAGTGGGCAAGTAGGTGGCAGATGGAATTCAATGTTAGCAAGTGTGAAATTATTCACCTAGGTAGCAAGAATAAAAGAACAGATTATTTTCTGGAAGGGGAGAAGTTAGATAGAGTTAGTATTCAAAGGGATTTGGGTGTCCTTGTACACCAGTCCCAAAAAGTTAGTTTGCAGGTGCAGCAGCAACTAAGAAGGCGAACGGCATGTTAGCGTTCATTTCAAAAGGTTTAGAATATAAGAGTAGGGAAGTCTTGCTGCAACTGTATAGGGCCTTGGTGAGGCCCCACCTAGAGTATTGTGTGCAGTTTTGGTCTCCTTATTTAAAAAAGGACATACTTGCCCTGGAGGGGGTGCAGCGTAGATTCACTCGGTTAGTTCCTGGGATGAGGGGACTGACCTATGAGGATAGGCTGAATAAACTAGGGCTGTATTCTCTAGAGTACAGAAGAATTAGAGGGGTTTTTATTGAAACATATAAGATTCTTAAAGGGCTGATAAAGTAGACACTGAGGATCTGTTTCCCCGGGTAGGAGAATCTATAACCAGGGGTCACAGTCTTAAAATTAAGGGTCAGCCTCTTAGAACAGAGTTGAGGAAACATTTCTTCACTCAGAGGGTAGTGAACTTATGGAATTCACTACCCCAGAAGGCTGTAGATGCTCAGTCCTTGAACATTTTCAAGGCTGAGACTGATAGATTCTTGAAAAATAGAGGGATTAGGGGATATGGGGATAGGGCAGGTAATCAGAGTTAGGTGAGAAGATCAGCCATGATCTTATTGAATGGCGGAGCAGGCACGAAGGGCCGAATGGCCTACTCCTGCTCCTAATTCTTATGTTCTTATCATTTCAAACACTAGGTGTGACTGGAAAATGTGGCATCAGTGACAATATTTTGCTTTTATTTAATTCCCAGAGCAACCATTCTAAACGTGGCTGTTGTGGGCGGAAAGGAAAAGTGACCGCTCGTGAATCAAATTCCATTGTAAATATAGAAACCTTCTGGAAACGGGATGTCCTGTAGCCATTAGTATCTGAACTCTCTTCTCAATGAAAGGTCACGTCAGCAATTCATCTGAGCACATAAAGCAATAATAGTAACTGAGTGACTACTTCCTGGGGTGGGATTGATGGTCAGAGGAAAACAAAAACAACTTGCGTTCATATAGAGCTCTTCACACAGAGCAGAGTTGCAGAGCGCTTAAAAAATAATCCTTGCATTTGATATCATATCGTTGAGAAGTCTCAAAGCGCTTCACAGGATACACCGTAAAGTGAATTGACTGTATATTTTGTGGGCAAAAAGTGATGGGAACAAGGCCAAAAGTGTTATATTCCACACCTATAGTCAGCTCACCAAAACACCTCACCACAGGCCTTTTTTTAAAAAAATGTCAACGAACTAACAAACCCTTACTCAGAGGCCACCCTTACATGAAAGTCACTTTGGTCCAGTCCCTTGATGGTTGCTGAAAATTGGTTTGACTGTAAATGTAAGTTGTTGTTTTATTGAAAAATAACTGCTGTGCCTGATAGGAAATCATATATTATATCCCATTTCCTTTTAGGAAATAATATTATGGGATATAGTACATAGGTAGTTTGGGACATATGTGCATACGACCACCAGGTAGGGGGAAGGCAAACTAGATGGACCTTGGTTTTTCCTCATCCAGCATTTCTTATGCTATTATGATAATGTTACCATTGCCTACTGCAAGTCTCAAAGCACTTCACATGATTTACTGTACCATGTAATAATGATGTTTTTTGTAGGTGAACGGCAATTTGAATTTGTGCATAGGAATGTCCCCACAAACAGCCACAAAGTGAGTGACCAAATAGGGCTAAAATAGGGTGGACTCAGAGCAAACTGCTTTGGGGAGTGGGGATCTGGGTGGAGAGTGACCAAAACACAGACAAAAAGAGAGGTTTGAAGTCAAGCTTTAAAGGTGGGGAAGGAGGAGACTAGGTGGAGGGCCTCAGTGATGGAGTTCCAGAGAGTGAGGGTAAAATGGCTGAAAGCTCACCTCCCAATGGTGGTTGGATGGTGCAGAAGATGTGAAGCAGCCTGGTGTTCGCTGAGCGGAGGGAACACCAGAGGCATTAGGAAGTCAGGGGCTTACCAGAGGTAGCATGGGGGCAAGGGCGTGGAGGGATTTGAATGCGAGGATCTTGAATTTGAATAAAGAAACTCCCATCTGTGGCAAGAAAAGTTGAGCCACTTGTTTAACACTGTGCTTCTTCTCTCACTTCATTTGAAACAGACTCCCTGGAGAGGACACATTGATAACATCTGTGGGTGAAATTTTCTTTTAAGCATTGCAGAAATGTTACCTCGTTCATCACTGGAGATTGCGATCCAGGCTTCAGCTGGTTTGTAGGTTGGAACTGGGGTCTTGTGGTCTCGGCTATCTGAACGAGAATAGGAAGTCTTCTCACAATCGGCACAAACGTGAAGGCCAAGGGCTTTGCTGTTTCATTAAGATTGGCCTAAGTGATCAATACAGCATGAAACAAATTACAAATTGATCTGGTCATTGGCTTTTTTTCTCTTTTTCTCTTAAAAATTATAAGAATAAGAATAATCCTTGCATTTGATATAGGGCATTATCTCATCATTGGGATGTCCTCCTGACATGAAAGGTGCTATACAAATTTGTTCTTGTGGTTGAGATGTCTCAAAGCGCTTCACAGGATATACTGTAATGCAAATTGACTGCATATTTTGTGTGCAACATGTGGCAGCCAATTGCACACAGCATTGTCCCATAAACAGTCGTAGATTGAGTGACCAAATCATTATTATTTTTTGAAAGCGTTATTACCCCTGGAAAGTGATCTGCCAATCGACTAATAACCAGGTTCTACTTACTGCTAGGTAAACCGAGGCAAGTGAAGTAAGGAAACTTGCCTAAAGTTTCAGCCTGTCCAGTCATCAAACCCAGTGCTCTAACCAATACGCTACAGGATTCCACAAAATTCTCATGATAACAGTATAGTCAGAGATATATTATATTGGCTTAAAATCTATTTGTTGGGTCATGATGGAATGTCCAATATTAATGGTGAACATCTGTGTAGATGCACAGAATGGGATGATTTTTGATGGGAGATAAAGTTTTTTTCAAACTGTGATGGAAGAAGAGTAGGGTGGGAGTTCTGGAGGAATGAGATCAGATATGCCAAAGGTCCCTCTTCATCCAGATCAATTTTATGATCTAGTGAACCCAGTTATTTCTATCACTCCTCCTGGGACTGTCAGCCATTTGGAAGGAAGTTTAAAAAAAACACTGTCCAAATATTTGGTTGAACACAACTGGCATGTATCTGGAGCTCTGGAAATCAATTTATTTTAAGATAATTTGCGACAGAACCTGGTATATCAGCCCAGGCAAGAGTCATCCTCAGAGAACAAAGACTGATGGCTTGCCTGTGTGTTTCAGGCATATGTGATATAACGAGAGCAAAGACGTCAACATAGCTCACTATTAACTCAAGCGCAACAACATCAAGAAGGAAATTCTGCTATCTTCACACTTGTATGGTGGTGAACACTTGAATATTGCTCCATCTATCATTGAGTTTATCTAATTCCGATTCCTTCAGCTTACTCATCAGATGTTAAATCAATTCCTTTGTCCTTTCCTCTGGGTTACTGGCAGAACCTTGATCTTCCTGTCATCTTGAATGCACGAGCACCAATCATGTTGCACAAAGGTGCAGTGAACACCAATTCGTCACAGTGAGAAACAATTTATTTCATTATTGGATTAAATTTTGCGAACTCCTACAGAAATGACAGGTACAACCGCTGCCAATGAATAAAACCTCCCCATTCAGCCTCTGCTCTCTGGAACTCCATCCTGGAATCCCTCAGCCTTGCACAGCCTTGCCTTGCAAAACAATAATAAATTGGTCACTTCAATCCACGACTGTTTTGTGGGACACTGCTGTGCACAATTAGCTGATATGTTTTGCCCACAAATATGCAATCAATTCACTTTACAGTATATTCTGTGAGATGCTTTGAGACATCTAGAAGACGTAAAAAGCGCTATATCAAATGCAAGAATTATTATTATTTATTATTATAAACGTCCTCCCGATGTGAAAGGTGATATATGAATATAAAATTGTTGTTGCTGTTGAATTCTGCCTCACCTTAGCCTGTAGCTCTATTTCAATTTATTTTTAACAATCTACCTCAGGAATTTCCATGTGTAGGTGGCATGCATGGAATTGTCAGTTTGGTTTGGATACTCTTAAGCACGGTGATGGGTTTCCGCATGTGTCAGACACCTGGCTGACCAGAAAAACAATAAACACTGCAGAAAGCCAATTTCTAAAATTAAGACTGGGTTCAAGGATTTTCCCCAATTCTACGCAGTCCTACATTATAACACAAAGTGCTCTCACAGCCTAAGACTGTATTGAATTTCAGGTTAAGAGGTTTCCAAACTTTATGAGCATCTTTAATATACTTTTTAAGCTCCAGCCTCAAAATAACATAATAAGATGGTAGGCTAGCCATTCTGAAATGCTCTTGTGAGCTTGCGATAAATATAGTGCACCCACTTGGACAGCATCGTAATGTAGCCGTTAATTACACACATACATTTACGTCCTCATCTAAAGATCATAGCCGTGGTTGAAGAGGCAAGACTTGCAGGCTGGAATTGAAGACGGATTGAATATAATTTACACATTGAGAGGACGTCACAAAGTAACAGAGAGGCAATGAGAAGGATGGCAACCGAGAGGGTGTACCAAGGAGTGAGGGTAGCATAATTGCTGAGGCTCAGTCAGCAATGGGATGAGGAGTTGGGACGGTGAGGGTGGGGGAGGAGAGAAGCACCGCAGACCAGAATTTGTCAAGCAGATGCGGGGGGAGGGGGTGTTGGGGAGCACATGAGTACTCCAGGCATGAAAGGCGCAATACAAATGTAATTTGTTGTTGATGTTGTTGAGCAGAAGATCACAGAGATAGGGATTACCGCACGACAGACACCACAAGAGAGGGTGACAAACTAGCATAACTTATTGAATTAAACTGCGCGAAAGTGGCTCAGGATCTGACCAGGCAGAAAACAGCGTTCACGAAAATCAGCTAAAGAGAGCGAGCTTTTCAGCCTCATGTTCTTACCTGGCCTGTGAAGTGATCACAGTGCTAGAGCCAAGCCCAACCCCTTAGGAAAGTCACCCAGTGGACGAAATACACCAAGAGAAGGGGTGAGAGACGTGTTCAGACAGCAGTGAGAAGCTGTGCGCAAATACTGCTTGTGCAGCACCAGAGATCTGTACTGACAGGTTCTTTTCATGTAAATTACTGAGTGGGTTTGAAACAGGCCCTGAGGGACTCCTTGTTTTAAAATGTCACCGTGTGGGAATGAAATACCAGTCACTCCAATATCGCTCTTTGTCGGAATCAAGTTATGATTGAAATCATTGTTTCTACCAATGCAGATGAAAATCGTGTGTGTGAGGTTTGGGCCTCGGTTCACTATTAACATTGGTTTTGAAAACTGATCCCGACGAAGGTAGATTGAATGCGGCGGTTTGCTCAGTATGCTTAGCTCCATTAGATTGTGCCGAAAGACACAGCCAGTGCAATGTAGGCAAATATTATTCTGAAGGATTTCAATGGAGGGATTTGCAAATGGCTCTCGGAGATGACATGGTGGGGTGCAAAGGCTGCTTAAAAATGATCAACTGAACTGCACAATGAATGGGCACGTACTAAAGGAGGCAACCATAGGTACAGCTTAAGTGGTAGGTTTTGAAGCATGTGTTGGTGGAGGTGTAGAAACATCATCATCAGGATTTGTGTGTAAAAGAGAAAGGAAAGCAGAAAATTGAACCAGATGCTAAGATTGCACACTGTAAAGTGGATTGACTGTATTTTATGGGCACAACATAACAGCCAATTGCACACAACAGTGTCCCATAAACAGCCATGGAGTGAAACAACAATTTTATTTGGGGGATTGTTGGCCAGGACACTGGGAGAAACTCCCTTCTCTTTTCAAATAATGTCATGGGATCTTTAAAGTCCATCTGGACATGTAGACGGGACCTTGGTTTGGTGTCTCATCCGAAGGACAGCATCTACAACAATGCAACAGACCCCCCAGCACTGCATTGGTGAGTCAACATAAGTGGAGTCCTGTAGCTCAGTGGTTAGAGCACTCGCCTCACAAGTGAGAGACCTGGGTTCGATTTCCAACAGTGCAAAATGTTGGGCAAACTTCCTTATTCCATACACTTCTGTTTACTTAGCAGTAAGTAGGAACCCAGTTATTAGTCAATCGATTGGTGGATCGCTTTTCTGGGGATAATAATTCCTTCAAAAAAATAAATTGGTCGCTTCACTCCACGATTGTTTGTGGGATACTGCTCTGCGCAATTGGCTGCCCACAAAATATATAGTCAATTTATTTTACAGTATATATTCTGTGAAGCGCTTTGAGAAGTCTCAAAGACGTGACAACAACAACTCAATTTTTTTTTGTCCTCCACGCCAGACGGCGTCTCAGGCACTATATCAAATGCAAGGATTATTATTATGTGAGCTCAAGTCCTGACATGGGATTTGAATCTACAATCTTCTGACTCAGAGGCGAGAGTGCTCCCACTGAGCCAGGCTGACACACTGCAAGTCTGGGCTTCATCCACACTGCCTCCTTTCTGCCCCTGAGCAGCAAATCAGTCTGATGTCATTAGGAAAAAAAAGTAACGCAGGGGAAATAGATTGAGTAATAAAAGCTAAAACCTTTTAATTGAATCTCGAGTTGGAACATTAAGTGACAATGGATTAAAAATCAGGGAAAACTGCAAACAAATTGTACATGCACACAGAGTAAATTCTCCCCTGGGTTGTGACTCCATTTAAAATACACTTTTGAGTTCCATTTCCTAAGCCTATTTTCAAGGGTTGCTCATGCAAGAAGATAGCACGGTGTGCCAACAAATGAACCGAGGCAGAACAATGAACAGATTCCCAAAGTAAATTCACTCTCGTCATACAGTGATTCAGCAGCTCTGGGGACAAATACGTGGTTTGTACTAAGACACTTCAGTTATTGCGTTAATTCATCTCTCAGGAGAAAATGCTAGTTAGCAAACACATCCGATTGTTCAAATTTACCATCTCCATGAAAAATAATGAGGTGCAACACTTTGCTGGTATATTCTGATAAATATCAGCAAGGATGTCCTCCTGGTGCTATATGAATGCAATTAATTATTATTGTCAAAATGTCTCACAGTGCTTCACAGGATTTTAATCTGAAGTGTGGTGATTGTGTATTCACTATGTAGGCAAACGCAGCAGCCAATTTGTGCACAGCAAAGTCCCACAAGCAGCCAATTAAGTAAGTTCCCAATTTTTTTTTGGAGGGGGAGATTATTGACCAGGACACAAGGGAAAAAATCCCTTCTTTTTCCATGGGATCTTTAACATCCACCTGATCAGCCAGACAGGATCTCAGTTG